ACACACACACACACACACACGGAGTACTGGGAAACCAAGACTTGAAAGACAAACAGGTATGGTCCATCTCCCCAACAGCCTCAGATTGAGCTAACTAGAATCCTCAGGAATTGGGAAGAAAATCAAGGAAGAACTGAGAGGGAAATCTGATATATAAAAAGCAGCTCTGTTGCATAGGTAAAAACTGTTTAGGTATAGATGCAATCTTATGATTGTGGATATTTAAGCCTTTATAATCTAATGCTTCAATATAAGCTCAGTTTTGGTGTGTTTTTGTGCAACCTGGAAACTTGTCTCTAACTATAAGACTATCTTCTCGGACAGAATTTTATATTTTCCTTTTTATTGAAACTAAGATGCCCTCCCAATTTTGCAGATTTGTATTTTATCCTCATCTACCACTAAATCTTTGCACACAACTATTAAAGTTAAAAATAAATATTGACATTTTCTCTTTCCTTTTCTTCGATAAAGCTTTTTTTCCTTATTTATACCCTATGAGGTTGATCTATCTACCAAAACCAGAGGATTGATTTCTATAGCCCCATTCATTATAGCCAGTAAAGTGTAGACTGTGGAAGTCCTCTCTCTCCCCCATGTGGTGATTGGGATAGATGGTGGTAGCAGTTGCTATAGCAAGTCATTTCACCAAAGCAGAAACATGACTGGGATGTGTAGATGCAGAATGTTTTTGAGAAAAACCAAAGGCTGGATACTTCCAGCCTTTCACACTCTAGGCTCAGCCCTGCTGTTACAACCAAACCTGCTTGGCATCTAGTCTAATTCATTATTTCATTAGCAAAAAATCTCAGGACGTCTTTACAGACATGCCAGCCATAGTCATTGGAACCACAGAAATAATTGTTCTATTTTAAATAGAAACCATTAAAAAACCCTGTTTACTGGGCTTGTAGTTCTGTGCAACAACTCACACAGAAGTCTTAGCCACTTTCGCATAAAGTTTCTGTAACAATTTTCTCGCAAGTATTCATAATAGCCACTCAATCACAGCTTTATTGCTAAAACTAATTATACTCTCCTAATGCTGAGTTCTCATCTAAAAAATCTAAAAATCAATTATTAATAAAATGTGCAAGATTAGAACCCATAAAATGTATGAAAGTATTATAAATGTATACCTACACAGATAGATATAATAAAAGTTTCTAGAGAACTTTATTTAAAAAACTTAAGTGTTGGAACATACACCTGCCTCGATTGTATGCAATGTATGACATACAGGTAGTTCTCAACTTACAACCATAATTTTGCACAAATTTATGTTGTTAAGTGAGAAATTTGAGTTTTGCCCCATTTTACAACTTTTCTTGCCACAATTGTTAACGAGATTCACTGCAGTTGTTAAATTAGTAACATGGTTGTTAAGTGCATCTGGTTTCCCATTGACTTTGCTTGTCAGAAGGTCACAAAAAGGGATCACATGACCCTGGGACATTAATAAATGTCATAAACGTGAGTCAGTTGTCAAGCATCCAAATATAAATCATGTGAGCATGGGGATGCTGCAATAGTCATAAGTGTGAAAAATGATCATATCTCATTTTTTTCAGTGCTGTTGTAACTTTGAACGGTCACTAAATGAACTGTTGTAAGTCGAGGACTATCTATTTCTAAAGCATTGAATCTCAAATTACTTTTTTTTTCAATTTTATAAAAAGTCTAAAATATATTGCCCAAAGCCCATGAGTTGGAACACTAAACCAAAGGTCAGTATATTTTACTGTAGATGAAAAACATGTGAAACACTTTATTATGAATGTCATGCCTTCTGCACTCAAATATTTTAAACTAGATCTTCCATTTAATCTTATTAGCCACAAATAAGATTAAGGCAGAATCAGGACTGGAAGGGGAAAATGTAATTCAGAATACATGTGGGTGCACATGCCATCCTGTCGGAAGTATTTTAAAGCAAAGTTATCTTTTCCCAAGATCATGCCATACTTTCTAAACACGGCTCTCTGAGTCTTGAAGAACTGCTGTTAAATGTTCTTGAGAAGCTCTTCATGCATGTTCACATAGAGCCCAAATTTATTTTCTGTTTTAAACTTGGATTTCTACACAGGTCTGTTAACAATATTTTTGCAGATTTTTTTCCTCCCAACTGAAGTTTTTAAATTATTAACTCTTTCCATAGTTTTACATAATCAATAAAACAGAAATAAAATAGGAGTCTTTTTTTGCCTTGATGTATAATATCATTAATATAAGAATTTCTCCAGGTTCTAAGATTGACTTCAGAGATGTTCCTTCAAACTTACTCACCACTAGGAAGAATAAATTATGACTGATGGAAGTCTCACTTTATGGAATATCTCTTAATGCCTAGATAAGAGATGCATCAATAATGGTGTCTTTCCAACAAGAATGCATTATTTTCTAAGTGACTAATTCATTGTCTTATTTTTGTTTAAATATTTGATTTTTTTCCAAGCAGTGTTACTTCTTTGTTAGACTTACAGGCCGCCATTCAGAAGCTCAGCAAGGAATAGGTAGTATTCCTCTTTCCAAGTTTTCCTAACTACCCTGTGAAGTAGGTTAGGCACAGAGAGGGTGACTGCCCCAAACTCACCCCGTGAGAGTCTGAGGCTGAGAACAGATTATACACCAGGTCTTCCCACTTCTAGTCCAACACTTTCATCACTACACCAACCTGGCTCTTTTATAGTTTGCAGTAGGGTTATTGTTGTTGTTGTTATTACAACCCAGTTAAAAATTTCTTTTCTTTTTTTATAAAAGTTTTATTAATTTTTAAAAACAAACATAAACAAACAAAACATAAAACATAAAAACATAAAACATCTTTTTTGAAAGCAACTTGATCCCGGGTTACATCTCTTCGTACAGACACAAATTCAAATTCATGCTCATTTTATATACCATTCCATATCTTATTACTATTCTACATTTTCTATATAGCTTCTCCCCTCTTTTAACTTTCTTAATTTTATTTTATTTATTTCATCTCAGTTCAAATCATTATAGTTATATTCTTTGTCTGTCCTGTTTTCAGCTGTCTATTATCTTTTCTCATTAAACAAAATTTCTCCTGTAATCACTGCTTGGAGTATGACGCCTTTATCTCTTTCCGCTAAATTTATAACACTTAGTATAATACATAACTTCCATTCGGATTCTGCTTAGTACATTCTAAAGTTACACACTATATTTTAAAAAGAGAAAAAATTATAAATATATAATATAATTAAAACAACAATCCATACCAATTCAAATCTATCGTTAATATTAATATTCATTAAATCTTAAACATTTTACACATTACTTTTCAAACAAGTATCATACTTCTATGGGAACACTTATAAACTTTCCATAGTTATTTCCCCCCTCCTCACTTCACTTATATTTTAAAACATTGTGTCATTAAAATGTTCCCATTCCTTTCTAATTCAATTCTCTCGTTTATTTCACTTCATTTATTTGTTCACAAAAGTTTCACTGAATTACACTGAGTATTTTATCCCACTTTTTAATCATATGTTTCCAATTTTCTAACATTATTTCTAATACAAATATAACAATACAATCTTATGTACCTTTGCAGAATCACTTTTTCAGTTAAGTTTTTACCCATTATCTCTAAATAAGTCCTGTTTCTTTACATCTTGCTCCACACCTTTGTAGCTTCTCTTCCCTTCCTTCCTCCCTTGCTTCTTCTCTCTGCCCTTTTTACCCCCTTGTCTCTCTACCTCCATTTCCCTCTTCTGTGTTCCCCTTTTCTGTTGCTTTTTAACATTATATTCACTTTTCACCTTCCAGTTTGCAGGGCTTCGGCGGCAGGCAGGAATCCGCGATCGTGTGCGGTTTCTGCCTGGGCTCGCCGCTGGAGCGTCCCGAGCCAGTTGGCTTCCGGGCTAAGCCACCCCGTAGAGGTGGCAAAGAGGGGGGGAGATCCCAGCAGGGTCGAGGAAAGCCGCATCTTTCCTCCCCAGCTGGCTAAACTCCCTTTCCCGAAGGCGGTAAGAGCGGCGGTCAGAAATGGCCGCCTCAAAGAAGCACTCGTCCGGAAAAGAAAGTGCAGGAGGAAGTTAAGAAGTGAAAGTTTTGGCTAACCGGGATAAGAAGCAACAACTAAGGTATCCTGGAATTTAAATTTTTAAAAAAGATACATCGCTCCCAAGGAAGATTCAGAAGCAGCGAATGAAAGTGAAAAGGGAAAGTTTTTTTTTTTACTCTCCTTCCTTACGTTGACAGCGAACAGAGATGAATGAGAAATCAGAAAAACCCGCTTTGGCATCAATAGGTAATTAAACTGGATAATTAAATGTCAAGGGGACAATAAGGATTTCTGAACACTAAAAAAAACTTTTTTTTTTTTTGCTGTAAGTAGGAAGGGAGAGGAAAAGAATAAGAGTAAGATTTGGAAGGAGGAGACTGCCTGGAATTTAAAAGAATCTGATTAAATACTAACAAGACTTCTAAAAGATACATTTTAACTGGAACTTTGTAACTAAACAGTAACCCCAGGAAGAGAAAGTGAAAAAAGAAGAAAGTGTTAAAAGAAACAGCTTGTGTGTATTTGGATTGCTTGGTGATTTTGGGACTTTTGGAATTATATTTGAATGACTAAAAATACTTGGGTGGTTGTTTGAAAAAAAAAAAATTTTTTTACAATGGCATCACTTGTGGATGAACTGAAAATGGAATTTAAAAAATACAAAGAAGAGGAACAAGAAGGGAAGGGCTCTCTTGGCTCTGTCTTTCAATTCTTAGAAATGGCGATCTGTACTTACGAGAAACTACAAGAAAAGACTGCGCAACAAGAAGATTGGGACAAAGAAGAAGCCATCTTTAACGAACAAGTACTTGGGGAAGAAAGGGGAAAGGAGGGAAAGAAAATGGAGACTTTAAGACCTAAAAAAACAACCAAAAAAGGGAAAAATAAGGCCAGTTAAAAATTTCTTTAAATAGAGAAGCAAGTAATAGAAGTTTAAAACAAACATAGAAAATGAACACTTTACCTTGGACAACAACCTGACTCCCAGGTACGAAGAATTGTTGAGTGCCATCAGGTGTTTGAGCTGCATATTGTACAATCGTAGCACCAGGTTGAGGAGCTCCTGAATTTGTCATAGTTAATGTCTGTAATCCTTGAACACTGTCAGATGCTGGATTAGAGATTTGGATGGTTCCACCTTGGGCTATAGCAACTTAATCAAAAATAAATACTATGTAAAACATCAGCAATAGAGATGAAAACACTTTAATTTAGTTGCTCTCAAAGAGTATTTAAGGGCAGGATAATATGAATGATCAATATACAGTATGAAACTGGATACAAACACACACACACACACACACACACACACACACACACACACCAGTCTCCAAAACTGACTCAGAATGTCTATTATTGGGGGCAACACAACTCTGACTGATTCACATTTTTTTGCAATTAGGTTTTATTTTAAGTAAATCAAGCATCAAATAGAAAATTTGAAAATCAGTTAATAGGAACTAGAGAAATTTGTTTTTCCATATATATACAACAGCAATACCCACTGACAGGAGAGAGGAAGAGAGACACTATTTAGACTCACTTGCCATATTGCTCTATAAGATCCTGATATTTAGAGCAAATATTCTGGGGAAGGCCAGTTTTCTTCCCTTCCACCCTACCTATTCTTTTTGTTTTAACTCACTGTTCATTAACATATGCCCTGTTTAAACTATGTAGTAACTACTAGTAATATTTCTTATGCAAAGTTGTACAGGTATTCCTCAACTTGTAAACATTCACTTAATGGCCATTCAAGGTTACAGCACTATGGGGGAAAAGTGACTTGCAAGTGGTCTACGCAATTAAAATTTGAATGATTTGCAACCAGCATGTATTTACAACAGTTGCAGTGTCCTGAGGTCATTTAATCACCATTTGCAACTTTCCCAACCAGCTTCCAATAAACTAAGTCAATTGCAGATGGAAGCTGTAACAAGGTTCACTTAATGACCATATGGTTCACTTAACAACTGCAATGATTTGTTTAATGATTAGAGGAAAAAAGGTTGTAAAATCAGGTGTGATTCACTTAATAATCACCTCCCTTAAGGATCGAAGTTCCAATCCCAACTGTAGTCATAAGTTGTGGAATACCTTGTAACAAACATGATATTATGATAGGAAATGCTGAGGGACACTCTATAGACATTCACAGAAAGAACCAACAGCCAGAACATGGTGTTTAAACTAGATCAGTTTTTCCAAATGCACATTCAATTGCATAATTTTCATATCCTACATAGTTTAGCATTAGGCAAACTTGCCATGTTTGGAAACTTTAAGATATGTGGATGTCTACTCCCAGAATTCCCCAGCCAGTATGAATTCTGCAAGTAGAAGTTCATACATTTTAAAAGTTGCTTCGTTTAAAAAAACAAGGGCCAATAGCCTGTTTGGGATTATGTTTTAATCACAAATAAAAGGCTGTCAAAAATGTGTCTTTATGGAAGATACATTACACAGATATATCTTAGGTTCCATAGCCTCTGACCAAAGGTTCTAAAACTAAATGCATGAAGGAACATCAGTAAAACATAAAAAAAAACCCTCATATGAATATATGTATATTAAAGACATTTCTATTTAAATAATAACCTATATACGAGATTATTAAAATAAACCATAACAAGGAAAGCTGCATCCAGGTTCCATGGCTTAAAAGAACTGTTATCAGTTCTTATTATTCCTGCTATCAACTATCACTTAATTTTATTGTTTTTCAAAATTACAAATTTTCCTTTTAAGAACAATAGATTAAACAGGTAGCCTAATATTACAGAAGACCTACTGTACTGCCCGGTGCTAGTCTGATAAAGGCTGGTTGGCACGGCCATGGCAGGGATTCCAGAGGGTGCTCCTTCTTCCTCTGGTTTTCCTTCTTCAATCTTAGCAACGCCAGGTGCATCAGAAGAAAGCTCATTCAGAATTTTTCTGCCACAAATAAATATTTAAAGAAATATTTTTTAAAATACTGACCTATGCCATGGAACAGTAAAATAGTGTAAATAAACAAAAACTTTTGCATTAGGGCAGAGCTTACCGATACGAAGGTCTCCTTGAAAGTATCTCCCTCCGCTTCTGAGAATCAATTACAACCTCGGAATCTGTAGATTCATCCGCATTTGTAGCTGGCGCTACCTAGTTTTTTAAAACAAAAATTTAGTAAGCTGCAATTCTAGAAAGTTTGTTGCCTGAAACTCTGTGCAATAGTCAGAACATTTTCACTGTATGGAATCCTGATTTCTATTGTAAGATCTAATATTAATAATCTATTACATGGAATTTACTTGTTCCATTTCTATCCCACTGGATACAAACAACCTTTGATTATTTATTTTATTTATTTATTTATTTGATTTGTCAATTGCTTACAAGATAATAAGTATAAGTATATACATAGTTATGAATACATGAAATGGGTACATATAAGAAAAATAAAAGAAACAATAGGACAGGGACGGTAGGCATGTTGGTGTGCTTATGCACGGGGCTCTTAGGAAAGGGGTGAGGTCAATAGTAGACAGTCTAAGGTTGAAGTTTTTGGGGTTTGGGAAAGAAACTACAGAGTCAGAGTATTCCAGACATTGACCACTCTTGCTGAAGTCATATTTCCTGCAATCAAGTTTGGTGCGGTTAACCTTGAGTTTGTATCTGTTGTGTGCTCTTGTGTTATGATTGAAGCGTAAGTACCGTCTTTCTCCAACAATACGGCCTCCACCAATAGGAAGGCCCAGCATGTTTTTTGGGCATAAAATCAAATTAAGCCCCTCCCCCCAAATTTAGGCCTATCTTAAAATATGCAAAATAAGGGGGAAGGGCGGGAGACTTGCCGTTAGGAGCGCCCGGCGGGCAGGAATTCCTCGCCACCAGCCGCTCCTAACGGGCGATCATGGCAAAGCGCAGAGAGCTCCCTACTCCCACCAAACACCTTTGCTGCAGACACCTTTGGCACCCGCCGCTGTTGCTTTCCCTTCTGCCCATTCCGCCGCCATGTTTGGAGTTGCCGCTTCCGTGTTTGGAGTGCCGCCGCCATTTGGAGCTCCAAACGCGGAAGTGGCAGCTCCAAACATGATGGCGGGCGATCTTTTTATTTTGGTCCGCGCGAAGTTCAGAGCGAACAAGAGAGGGAGACTGCGATGCCTCCATCCGAGATGGCAACCTCACTAGTGGATCACAACGTGGCTGGAAGCCCGAATCGGCGGGATACGATGGCAATCTTTTTGGAGCGAGAGGAAAGGGAGAGAAGAGTTGCGAGGCGTAATTTGCAGGAGGAAGTGGGTGTACCCCACGGCAGGGACCAAACACGGAAGTGGCAGCTCCAAACGTGGCTGCGGAATGGGCAGAAGGGAAAGCAACAGCGGCAGGTGCCAAAGGTGTCTGCAGCAAAGGTGGGAGTAGGGAGCTCTCTGCGTTTCGCCATGATCACCCGTTAGGAGCGGCTGTTGGCGAGGATGCAAGGGGGGGAATTAAGTCACCCCCCGAAAAGACGGCCTAGCTGTTTTTTCGGGGCTCAAAAAAAAATAAGGCCCGGCCTTATTATGTGAGAAACACGGTATTCATTGACAGGTAGGACATTGCAATGTATGATTTTATATACCATACTTAGATCAGACTGAAGACGGCGTAATTCAAGGTTTTCTAGTTCTAGAATTTCAAGTCTGGTGGCATAAGGTATTCTACAACGAGTAGAGGAGTGGAGAACTCTTCTTGTGAAATATTTCTGGACTTTCTCAACTGTGCTAATATCAGATACGTAATGTGGGTTCCAGACTGATGAGCTGTATTCGAGTATTGGTCTAGCAAATGTTTAGTAGTGTGATATTACCAGAGAAAAAGCTACGTAGAATTAGGTTAACAACTCCTAATGCCTTTTTGGCTATGTAGTTACAGTGGGCTCTAGCACTTAGATCATTAGAGATGAGTATTCCAAGGTCCTTTACAGAGCTTGGATCATCAATAAGGTCTTGACTATTCAGCTTGTATTTTATTTTCTGATTTTTTTGCCAATATGTAAGACAGAGCATTTATTTGTTGAGATTTGAAGTTGCCATTTGTTTGACCATTCTGATACATAGTCAAGATCTTTTTGAATGGTAGCAGTATTGTCTGTGGTATTGAACAGCTTTACATCATCAGCTAAAAGAACGCAGTTGCTCTTAATATGATCACAGAAGTAATTTATGCAGAGTAGGAAGAGAGTTGGTCCTAGAACACTGCCTTGGGGGACACCACTATTGACAGGTACAGAATTTGATAGTACGCTCCCGATTTTGACCATTTGTTGTCTGTTTGACAGGAATGCTTCTATCCAGTTATGCAGTTGTCCAGAGATACCATAAGATTTTATTTTTAGGAGTAGTTTGTCGTGTACCACTGAATCAAAGGCTTTACAGAAGTCTATGTAGATTGCGTCTATTGCTTTGCCCTGATTGAGTTGTGTCGTCCATATGTTTTTGCAGTGTAAGAGTTGCAGATTACAGGATAGTTTTTTCCTGAAACCAAATTGTTTATTGGAGAGTAGGTTGTTTGTCTCTAAGTGGAGGATAATGGATTGGTTAATAATTGATTCCATGACTTTACAGGTGACGCAGTATAAAGAGATTGGTCTGTAATTTTCAACTAGGCTGGGGTCTCCCTTTTTGAAGATGGGGATGACCGTGGCTTGTGACCATAGGTTAGGCTAGGAGCTAGTCCTGAAAGATTTTTCAAAGATTATGCTTAGAGGTTTGGCTATGGCAGTGGATAGCTTTTTTAAGAAGTAGGCACATATTCCATCCAGTCCAATAGATAGAGATGGTTTTAGATTGTGTAGTGCTTTTTCAACATTGTCTTCTGTAAAATCGATATGTATTAGATCATTGTAGTTATCTGTGGTTCGGCTAGGAAATACTGGGCATGATCCATTGCTATTTACAAATACCAAGCCGAAGAATGTGTTAAAGATGTTGGCTTTAATGGTGTGGTCATTGCAGTCTTTACCATTAGGTCCTATCAGGGGTGGGATGGACCTTGAGTCTTTTAGTTTGTTGTTTACAAAATTGTAAAAAGCACAGGTGGAATTGGTGCATAAAAGGTTTTCCTCTTGTTTAATGTGATAATTGGTGCATTCAGTCTTTATCTGGTGGCATAAATTTTTGTATCGGCTTTTGAAATTGGCAACGTGACCAGATTTGTTTTTCCGCCAGAGTGATCTCTTTTTGGATTGAAGTTTCCTTATTGTTATGGGTAATCTGATTTTTTGTTTTGTTTTGTGAGTTGTTGTTGGTACATATAGTTTGATGACTCTTTTGACTTCAAGTAAACATATGTTGTAATGGTCTTCAACAGTATTGCATCCAGTGAATAGAGATTGCCAATCAAGGGATGAGAGATGGTTGTCTATAAGATCATAGTTGCCTTTTTTGAAGTTATAATAGGGGATTACATCATTGTGGTGATTTTTGTGTGGGCGTCTGTTGAGACAAAAGTCAATCATATTGTGGTCACTGCTGGAAAAGGGTTCTTTAGTTTGTATTCCATAAATTAAATTCAAACTATTGCAGAAGATGAGATCGAGGCAGTTGTTTAGTCTAGTGTTGTTGGTTACTAGTTGTTCCAGTCCCAGATTTGTAACAGCATTGTAGAAGGTTGCGTGTATGGTTTCAGTTGTACATTCATTTAGGGTCCAGTCAATATGAGGTAGATTGAAATCACCAAGAAAGATAAAAGGGTATGGGCAGAATGCTGCCCATGTTAGTAGTGTATTTAGCTTGTTTACATGTTCGATGTCATAATCAGGTGTTCTGTAACATAGTAAGAATCGAAATGTGATATTTAAGGATAGTTCACAGATGATGGTCTCAGGAAGAGCAAGCTCCTGGGTAACTTGGATATTTTTTAGATGTAAGGGCTTTTTATAGAATATAGCAACACCACCTCCTCTACGAATTTCACAATCTGATCGGTAAACATGATAGTCTCTTACTGTGGTAATGGAGTCAGGGAGAGATGCGTTGAGCCATGTTTCACAGACAAATATGATGTCGAGTTTAGCCATATTTAGTAAGAGGAAAAATTCAGGTATTTTATTCGCAAGGCTTCTTGCATTGAGTAGCTTGCATTTAAGGCCAGCAGTAGTTGGAATTGAGGTAGTTAGGGACGTGCGTGCCTAGTCTTGGGTGATGGTGGATTGGTTGAGGTAGGGTTGTGGTTGAAGATTAAAGCTGAGTTGCGGGTTGTGTGACTTACTTTTGATACAGTCAGCATGGTAGTCAATGTACAGGTCCTTCTCTCCATTGTCTAGACGTTTTTTGAGTTCAGTGCGGAGTACACGGGAGCGGGCACATTGCTGTATGGTTAGGTCAGGGCGACAACGGAGTTTCTTATGGTTGGTGTTGGTTTTGGCAAGTGAATTTATAGTGTAAATGAATTTTTACGTTTGCTTGATTCATTTTTGCAAATGACCCTGCAGAAGCGTGGGGCCACAGAGCCGTCTCTGTTTTTGAGCTCTTGGCCAATGCGGGAAATGTCAAGTATTTCATCAGGGGAGATGGTTGATGCTTGATAATCACTGATGATGTTTCGGACAGTTGTGATGTCATCATTATCATTGATGTCCTCTAGACCAAAGATGGCGTTTGGACGCTTCCATTCACGCTCAACAGCTTCTCCGATGATATAACACTATTTTAACACTATTATATAACTCTATTAATATAACACTATTTTGCAAATTTAACAGACTCTTATATAGTAGTTTTGATGCAGTAGTTTTGAAGAACATATTCAGGAACTGATTGTATGCTTGACTTATTTAAAGTCTCATTCACAGTTCTGTCCACAGTCACACACACACACACACAGACACACCTCAACCAGTTTGGTTTTGACTCAGGATTGAAAATAAACCAATCCCATGAAAGAAACCATTGTTATCAATTGTACTAACAATGGCATAATTCACAATAACAAAACGAATGAGTAAGCCACATTTTGACTTACTATGTCAAACCTGACTATAGACATCTAACCAAGACAGCAGGATTATTAATAGCTAGGCATGAAATAGGATTACAAAAAAAGGTACAAATTCAAGATTACATTAATTCCACCATCCAATGGTAGTTGCTAGAGCTGTCAAAATCCCGGCCCATGGTCACTCCCGGTTTAGCAAATGGGGAAAAGTTCTGATATATCATGTGATGCTATTGTGATAACATGAGTTTGACACCCCCTGTGCTAGAGAGAAATTAAAAGAACACAGAAAGTAATAAATTACAGGTAGTCCTCGACCAGTGATTGTAATGGATGCTGCCTCATTATGGCTGAAAGTTTTGACAGCTGTTAGTGAAGCGGCCTAATAACTACCCTCCTCCCATACAGCAGATTTGCAAGCAGCAGGCTTCAGTGCAATGAAGGCAAGCGTACCCAACTCTGCTTGCTAAGCGGCAGGCTTACAAATGCTGAGAAGATCAAATTGCTCCATCCCTAGGCCACATTCCTCTGTTCTAGAAAGGAGCACTATTTTGGAGCAGCCAAAATTCACTGTGGCCACTCTGAAAACGGTAGTTGCTTCAGGAACACAGGCATGTTGCCTACAGACACAGAGGGACAGATCATCTACTTCCCCAACCTGAGCTCCAGAACTTCCAAAAGGAGATCTATGGTAAAAGATAAATGAGTGATCAGTGGCAGGGATGGGAAAGAGCATGTGGGAAGTAGGCCCAAGGCTTGTGGGGACTCCAAGGGATAGGATGGGGTGGGGGGAGATTTTGCAACAGGTGGAGCAGAGCTCTTCAGCATCTTGGTCTTAAAGGCAAATGACCACAGTGGTGTTGCAGCGACTGTAATTTCAAAACCAGATCCTAAGTAGCTTTTGTGGAGGCGACCATTTGTAAGTCAATGTATAGGACAAGAACAATTTTAGTTGAAACATTGCTTTTCCTTATCATTCTCTTCCCTCTATAGATACCTATCCAACTTCCTGTCCTTCACATATTTCTCTCTCATTTTTGCAATTCTCATCCCACACACGTTCTATTTATATCCTAGCTTTTAATGTCAGCATTCATAATTTAACTGTGATTTAGTATTAGCAATAATAGCAATCCCTGGCTACACTAAAGAATGCATGTGAGATTTTGGGAAACGTTTGCCCAATTTTGCTGTCGTAAGTTAAGGACTAATGGTGAGTGAGGAATACCATGAAGAAATGTTGACATCAAAAGTACTTATTACAGTGTTTACTAACTGTCCTTCAGGTGCTGAACATCTGTCTTGAACCAGAATTGAAACATGTTTTATAAAGAAAGCAAAACTGAATGCTTTTGACAATTTCATCAAATATTTATATGAACACTTTATTTCTGTAGTTTGTTCAATTAGATATGGATTATTTAAAATATTAATAAAATCCTGTCCATGTAGGGAAAAAAGATGGAAAGGGAACTAGCTAATATTTTGATTTGCAGCTATCATATTTTTAAAAAGGAACCTGAAGCATCATATCAAGGCATGAAAAATGCTTTGAATAACACCATTCTAAATTCAAAACATATCCTATATATGTTTTGAAGCAGATGTTTGAAACCTGAATTTGGCCTGTTTTGAGCTCAAAGCACTTCTTTGAGCTAGAAACAAAATGTTTAGGGTCAAAGCATGGCAAAGTAAAAAAAAAAGTACACCCATTACTATTATGTTGGCAACTAGAGAAATAAGTAGAGTATCCCTTGGCATTAAACATAGGATCTTGTATTCACTCTCTTGTGTGGCACAAAAATAAATAGTCCAGGAAACCAAGGAAAAGTAAATAAAGACAACACAACTAACCTGAACAGATTGCAACTGCGGCGATTGAATAACCGAAGACTGTGTGGCTTGAATCACTCCCTGTACGTGGACAGTTTGACCAGAAGGAAACTGCACTACGGTTACAGAGGGAGATCCTCTTCCAGTTGCTGATCCTGCTACAGAAACCTATTGAGGTAAATAAAGCATACTGTGAAAAGAGCTTAAGTAGCTAGCTCTCAATGTTCATTATCTGACAAAAGTAATCCTTAGGCTTCAGTTAGGCTTCCACCTTTAACACATAAAAGGCTGTATTACAATGTTTTATAATACAAAATATATATTTTGGCTTCTAGTGGCAATTATGAAATCAAAGAGCAGGTGAAATATTGTTTGGGTGGTACTTCTGCTTTCCTATTATGAGCATTATTCATTAAGCATTGTTATCAGAGATGCTATAGTTAAAAAGTAACCTCTTTCCTTCAATCAAAAGAAAATGCAGTCTCACATGATATGTGATGGGGTAGAATTTTGCCCAAAATATAACTGTTTTTGTAACACAGCTATATTATATATTTTTACAAAATTACTGTAGTGTTATTCTTCTGCATCAAAACATTGCAAGATCGTATTTTAAGATCAATTTTAATGAACAGAAGGCTGAGAACTAACAACTTGGCAAAACAATCATGAGCTTCTCACTTTAATTCCACTTTGAAATAGGGGTTTACTTTTCTATTTTAATATTTATTAATATTAATAATGTATTACGATTGTCTTAGCAATACTTTAGAGTTGCATGATAATAATTATATCTGAATATTGTCAAAGCTTATGAAACAATTGACAGCTCAATATGTCAATAGCCCCTATTTCATTTTTAACATCAGCTATACTTGATAGTAGCACATAAGAATGCCCCTTTCTTGTAATTTAATATGCCATCATGTTTAAAAGTTTAGAACCCGTCTCTAAGACATACACTTTTATCTCCCTCCTTTCTCTTTCATTTAGATTTAAACATGTATTTTGAGGCTGCTAGAATTAAAATAAATCTGTGTCCAAAGGAGACACAAATTGCAAATCATTTTCTGATCCCTTAATGTTTAAAGGACAAAATATCTTTGGGTCTTACTACACTGCTGCTTTAGAAACTGTGCCCAGCTACATGTTCACTGACACTTCATTGCAAGGAAAAATGAAGTGTTTTAACAATTGAAAAAGAAGCATGTGTGCAGGAGCTGACCCTTAAACATGACATGAGTAAAGAATGGCATGAACTGAATTGGGAGAAGGAAATTTATCCCCATAAGGAAGGATTTCTGTAAGCAAAGTGTCATAATTAAGGAGACTCCTGCCTTTGTAGGCAACTGCTTTACTACCAAGAGCCTCCAAAGGTGGCCTCATGCCAGGTTAATTAATTATACGTGGAAGAAAACTCATCCATGCCTGTACAACATGCACTTCAACAAACAGCTTTAGGTGGCCCATTGGCGTTTTCAAAATCAATACACTTGCTCTTGCCCTGGAAAACATGCTACCAAGCATGTCTAACACCTCAGGGTCTCAACATCGCTTCTAGCTCTTGCGCTGCTACCCCTTTGCCCTCCACCAAACAGCTGATTTGTGCCCCAAGTATTTCTTTGCATTTTAGGAAGATTTTTAATTCATCACTATGGTCCTTTCTCAGATAAAAGTTATGCAGACCAGTCTTATTCTCAGGCTGTTTAAAACTTTGTAAGATTCTTTATGTTTTATAAGAATTTCTGCTCTTAAAAATGACTAGTACTATTCAGTAAATATACTGAGAAAAATTGACGTATCTAAATATAACTAAAAACCTAGAGTAAGTCGAGAGAGGTTTTTCTCAATACCAACTTAGCAATAATTTAATATTACTCTTCATATTATCAATATGTAGAAAGTTAGCACCCACCCCTCTCCTAGAAGAATGAAATATTCTAGGAAATATTAAAAAGGCAGAATATTATATTTCCCTGGATGAAGAAAAGGAGAAACATGTTTTAAAGACAAAGCAGCTTTCTGCAGCTCCCTGGCCTCCCCCCCCTTCAGCTCCGGGGTGATGGGATTAAGACATGGCCCTCAGGAAATAATAGGATTACCCATCTCACCACATGGCACCTGGGAAGACTGCACCTGCCAGCACTCAGGTGAAGCCATGTGATCCAGACAAAGTCTACAAAGTTAAGTAAGACCCCCGCCCCTGGGAGTCTGACAGCCAATGGGATATATTTCGTACACAGGAAAAGGAAACACTAAGGTGGGGTCCAACAGAGGGTGTAAAACCAAAGGGTTCTCAGCCTCTCTGCCCTTTTCGCCCAGGAGCTCCAAGGCATGTGGTCCTGTCCACCATTAAACCTTCTTTCCAAGCAACTTCCATGAATCCAGTGTCTTTTCCCCACCTGGAACTGAACCCAGAAGGACATTTCTTCCAACAATTGCATAATAATGTTAAAAAGTAAACAGAACATTTCATATTACTTGAGCTATAGTGGAGATCTGATTTTGGCCGATTCGAGATTGCAGATTAGCAGAATCACTTTCTGTAACAGAGTCTGTTGCACTGCCATCTTGTGGTTCAACTGTTTCCATGGTCATTTGTCTAAAGGCAAGAGAGAGGGGAAAAACAGGTTAAGATATGAAATATTCAGTAACACTTTTGCTCATTTGTTTATTTCAAATAGTTTCAATAAGCACTGAACGTAACAGCTGTGGATTATGGGAATCTCAATCAAGCATTTAGGCAGAGAAATATGGGAGTTGCATCTATCACATCTGGAGGTTGAAGGTGACTTAAACTTTGCAGAAAACTGAGACCTTATTTTTCTTACCCAGAAAAAAACATCTTCCAGGCACAATCTTATAAGTAAGGCAGATATATATTCTTAGAGATACAGCACAATTCCTTCACATTTTTATAGTTGTTCATCGAAGCTTCATTTTAGTTTATGCAATAATTGTTTTGTTTTTTGCTACCAATTAAGTTCCCTCTTTTGCCAAGTATTAAAAATTTCTTGCAAATGTTATATTGCACATTTAGACTTTTTTTTAAAAGTTGGTATAATTACAAAATTATACCTTAAATATTGTAGATATGAATTAGTTGCATTTTGAATATTGCTGCCTGCGAGATCCTATTATTGCTTTTTATTGTATTCATTGTATCAATGGTTTGTTATTTAGAAACAATACAAACTTTGGCAGCAAACATTTATTTCTGGGAGAACATAATTTATAGAGGGAGCATCAGCTAATATAGAAGGCTTGGCTGAGAATGAGAGAGTAACTTATCACTACAATGTATTTTCAAACTTATCAGATGTGGAACCAAAAATAAAAAGTATTGTTATTTCTTGGAATCAAATAGAACAAGGAAGTTTAGCTGTTTGACCATATCCATTTAATTTTTTTATTTTTATTTACATTCTATGCTTGGTTTATACTCCTGGCATGTTTGATATTACTTTCAAAGGTGGTTACATTTTTTAGTTTCCTAAAAACTAAAACATTTCCTAAAGTTATAGAAAAAATCACTTTCAGTCAAGTTATAGAAAATAGCTAAAGTCCATAATGATAAAAATCACTGCAGAATGCTATAGTTAAGACACCAACTAAAGAATATTTGGATAATTAATATAGTACTTTCAGCCAAAGACAGATATTTCATTCACAAAAAATTGGTATAATTTATGATTCTGGGAATAATACATATGCATAGACCACTCAAATGATACGTATTCACACTTGATTTTCTCCAGCGTTGTTTTAAGTTGTACTCCAAAACATTCCCCTTTGTTTCTCATAGTCTTCATTTTAGTAATTCTCACATATTAGAACTTCCTATGGGCTTCATCTTTGTTAACAACTGTTAATAATATTTCACCCCATCCTGTTTGTTTTTTTTAAATATGGTTGAAGCTTACCTCCACATGTTAAGTCAAATGTAGCATCTAACGCAGCCAAACTCCAGATGTGCTGGTCTTTTGACTCCCATAATTCCCAGTCAGCATAGTCAATTACTAAATTGGCTGTGGAGTTGTAGGAATTGACAACTTAAGATATAAGTTTGTCCATAAGTTTTACTCCTATTTCTCAAAATCTCAAGCATTTTTATTTTCAATCTATAAAAAAGTTTTATTTGTTTACTTAATAGAAATTAAGTAATTACAAATTACTTAATACTGTGAGGCTCAATTTTATATATGAAAAAATGCTTGATATATTATGGAATCCATTTCACTCCTACTTCAAAAATAGACATGGTTTTTGTGTGTGTATGGCCTTTATATTGAAATGCATTCTATTAGAATGGTAGAGTTGATATCTTCTTGATACTTGTAGAGCTAGATAAATGTATTCTGAATATACAGTTCCATGCTGTTATAATTTATTCAGCATCTCCCAAAAAAATCCCAACTCCCAAGTAAAAGATTAAAAATAACTGCTTAAGTCAGAACATAATGTATTGCTAAAACTAAGCCAAATTTAAAACACTTGAGTTAACACACATACCCACATTCACATACACTTCTCTAATGAGATTGGTAAACAAATGCTTGGCTGCATTCCCTTTATTGAAACTATTACTGTAATACAGGACACAAGCCTGCTATGCAGAAGCATCTTCTAGTGATAGCTAAAAATATAATGGCTACCTTATATTAATTCTGGCATGCTGTTTTTTGCTACATTTGCTCATGATTGAATTTTTTTTTTTAAAAAAGGACTTCTTCCTTCTCCAGACCACGCTCTTCTAGTGAACCTTACAATGAAGTTATGTTCTGTTTGTGATGTCATAACTATTGCTATGGCAACCCAATTCACAGTATTACATAGTATTTAGGGTTCCCTTTAAAAAGGAAAAGGATAGGAATAAAAGAGAATCATTTTAGTGCTAATGCAAGAGATTTTGTAAGTGTTATAGAAAACCCTTTGAAATGAGGAGAAAAAAAATGAAAAAACTTTTTAAAAAGCTACTTTTATGAAAACATTATCTGAAGCCTTTTGGGAAATGCTTGCAACGCAACAATTTCAGTGGTTTGACCACCAAAGCTTTTTGCATATTTGGTAAATATTGCATGCTCATTTGCCACAGGTGAGAAAGCACATGCAGAATTAACAGACCAACCTATGGAACTTCAGTGAAGTTCAATGCTGATCTTAGATTCCAACATGCCCGTGCAAAGGTTAGAAGTATTTTAATATAAAGCGGATCCTTAAACTTAGAAATGAATTTTTATTTTCAAAATATACAATTCCTCAACTGGGAAGGAAAAATGTTGCCAGTAGAAATCTACATACAATTTTATCTTTTATAGAAAGTATTGTCATGCCTGAAAATAGAATAGGATCATTTATGATTCAACAAACTTGCTAAATTATGTATTATGTATTATGGATACTATTGCTAGTAAATAAAACTAATATGTTTACAATTTAATCATACTAAAACTACTTTTGAGTGGCACCAGTTTTTTGGAATAGCATCCCAGTCGACATCAGGTTGGCTCCCACATTGCTTTCTGGAAGTTGCAATTTAGTTTGGTTAATTTAACTTTATTCTGTTTTGGTTAGTCTGTGGATCCTTTGTGTATTTTTGGCTGTCTATTGTTTATATGTTTATTTGTAACCCCACCCTAACTAACACTAATTATTAAATAGATGGGTCAGTTGCAAGCATATATCCTGCAACAAAGTATTTTCACCTGCCTGTTTCAGCCAAAGAAATCATTCTCCAATTTTTCTATTCGTTTAAAAAGACCATTTTCCATGAAGAGCTTCTGAATTTATAATTCTTTTTCTTCGTATTTTGAGATCTTTCTTCTCCCAGGGACTTCTGTAATTCTGTATTGGGCCAGGAAGTCTTAAAACTATGCAACTGTAACTTTTCTTTTAGTATAATGAGTTACTTAAATTTGCATTCAAAAATTCCAAAGAAAAAGCAGACTAAGAAGCTACTTCTCCCATTTAACAGCTTAATTTTACTGAACATTGTATTATATCATCTGCTAAGGGGTCAAAGATGCAGGAGGTGAAAACAGAGCATGTTGATAAGCACAATATAAAAAAGCAAATATTGAAATATAATTCTGAAAAAGGACACTTTTAATCACCTTGAAACTCAAAATTATTACAAACATGGGCAGAATCCTACCAAATGTGGTCTGCAATGAAATTAGTTCAGCATGTAGATGTGTGATAGCTACAATTGATTTTTGCTTTGTTGGATTATCACACCTTTTTAACAGGGAAACCCTTCTCAATTATTTCAAAATCTGTACAGAAAGTAGTTGCTCTTTTTACAACTTCCTTCCTCCAGCTTTACTTCTTGCTTTTGTTCCTTGGTTGCTCCTTCAGTTTACATATGAAACATTCATACAGAATTGAAGAGAAAACAAATTGTCATAGTAAGTTAAATACATTAAACTATGGTTTAATTATGTAGCATTAATAAGGAGAGAAGTGCATTTGGTTGTATCACATCATTTCTTGAGAATAAAACAAATAATTTGTACAAAACAATGGTAACATATTTATTAACTGACATGTTAATACATGCTTTATTCTTCAATTCAGTACATTCTGATATATGCAGTACTTTCGAGAATGGAGCATTTTTATATCCTCTTTCTTTTAAAGTAATTTTAGAATTTAATCATAAAAACTACAGTGATCAGAGTTGTTTAGATCATGCTCTCTAATCAAAATCAAGTTACACAATGAGATGGTTTAATACAACTGAAGAGGGCAAATTAAAGCTGATTTGGTGCTATTTTTCACAACCCAGTAGTCAAATTGTTTATTTGTGGCTTTGTTTATTTGTTTATTGGTGTTCTCCAAATACGGTGGATCTTCTGGCTAGCTATTATTTATTGAGATTTACTTTTCATCTTTTCTCAAGGAATTCAAGGCAATATGCATATCACATACTTCACTATACTATATCATTGCAACAAGATGAGACAGGCGAATTTAACAGGGAATTTATAGCCTCAAACATACTCAGTGAGTTGCTTCGACAGGGACAGGCATGTATTCAGTCCTCCCCACCTTGGCCAAGATCCTCGCCCCCTCCCCCAAGCAGTATATCGGTCCCAAAGATCAAGAAGTTAGGAATTGTTGTCCACCAGCTTGGAAGCCACCAGTTTCAGAATGAAGACAATATTGCGCTGCAACCTACACATGTCGATGCAGGATTAAGGTACACTGAGCACTCAAGCAAACAGAATACGAAAGTGCACTATGCTTTTTAAATACCCTAATTCCATTAAACTCACAGTCTCTAAATGTGGCAATTGTCGCTGCGGATGAGCAGCAGGTTCCACAAAGCTAAACTCGTGAATAAGGGAGAGAGAGAAAAAACCCTTTGCACATGCGCAAATCCCTCTTAGACTCGACAAAGTTTTCCCTTCGGCAAAGAGTACGCAGATCGAATTAAGCTCCAGTATTAAAGCGAATTGCGACGCCCCGTTTAAACAGCCCCCGACTCCTCGGCCGGCTGCCCCTCCCTTCCTTCTTCGAGTCCTCGGCACCCGCCTAGCCTCCTGCCAAGAGCCAGCCCTACGCCGCTGCCTCCAAACGCCAGACCGCCTTGCAAACACACACACACACACAAACAAACCCGGCGTGTCTCCGCCCCCTCCTCGATTCACCAGAGTACGTGGCGCCCCCGTCACAGGAAAAGCAGGCGGGGAAGAGGGATTGGGCCGGCCGAGCCCGCGCGTCGCCTCACGTCAGTGCTGATGCCGCCGCGCCGTCACCGCGAGGGGCGAGGGAAATGGCGGCTGTTGCTGCACAGCTTTCTAGGGCCTGTGCAAGGAATGAGGCTTGATCTGGCCCGCCCCGCCTACCCACCCCCGCCACGGCTCTAGGACCCCGCTCATTGGCCACTCGTGAGACTCAACCGCTGGAATTGGCGCCAACCGTCTTTCAAGCCCCCTCTCATTGGCTAACTACGAGACGTGACATTCATAGCGCCGTTCTTTGCCTTGTAGGATCCCAGCAAATGCCGATCCAAGTAAGGAAGGGCACTTGTGCCCGGACAAAGTCCCATAGTTCCCATGTAGGCAACCATAATGCACAAATATCCCTGAAAATACCTCGAATGTAAAAACCCTCCAACTGCCCACCCCCCACATTCTTTCATGAGCCTGCCCTCCCTCCCTTATGGCACGTATGAGGATTAGATTCGGGCTACTATATCCGGCTTCAAAACTTAATACGATCCCTAGAGAACAGGGTGGAGATTGGTCTGTGCATCTTGTTGCTATCGTCTAGCGGTCGTCTGGATTTTTGGAACCCAATTTTGCTAGTCTTCGTGGAAGAAAGCGCTCCAGAGTGTCTGCCTCTTTCTTTCTTTCTTTCTTTCTTTCTTTCTTTCTTTCTTTCTTTCTTTCTTTCTTTCTTTCTTTCTTTCTTTTTCTTTCTTTCTTTCTTTCTTTCTTCCTTCTTTTTTCTTTTCTTTCTTCCTTTCCTTTCTTTAGCAAGCGACTATAAGATAACAGGTATAAGCATAAACATAGTTATGAATACATGAAATGGATACATATAAGAAAAATAAAAAGAAACAATAGGACAGGGACGGTAGGCACGTTGGTGCGCTTATGTACGCCCAACTGCTTGGTTGTTATGCTAGGCAAAATATAGTTGGTTACTTCCTAATATGGTTTATTATTGGTTCTATAAGTATACATAATAAATGAGTATGCATAAATGGGAACAGAAGGACAGCAGCAGTAGGCACGCTGGTGGACACCCCCTTTAAGGACCTCTTAGGAATGGAGTGAGGTCCACGGTATATAGTTTAAGGTTACAGTTTTGGGGATTTGAGAATGTAACAACAGTCAGGTGGTTAGTTCCAGGCATTGACCAATTCAACTCAATTCTTTAAGGATTTCCTTTGGAGAAGTTAGTGATTGGAGTTTTAGGCTGTCTAACAGCTTCCTATAGCATTGAGAACTAGCTAGCAAAACATGTTTGCTCAAGCAGTATAGTTACTTGATTCAGTGCATCATATTGACTTGGAGAACTTAGGTTAATTCAAGACACACATATGATTTCAATTTTGTGTATGGTGATCATACAGTATATTTTATTGGATTTATGCAAGCAACAGTTAGGCTGATTTTATATTACAATAAAAGTAAAGATTTGTGCAGTATCATTTTGACCATTGCAACTGAGGCATGTAAAAAGTAAGTGTTTAATAGCTAAACAACTTTCCTTGAATAACTAGATATAAAAAAACAAGGCCCTACAATAATAGAAAATGTGTAGGAGTGCTTTGGACATCATTCAAACCGAGGAACAGTATCTCCCACTATTCATTAAACAGCTTGACTTTCTTTCAGCTTCCATGTGAGCTTGGAAAAGAGTTACAGATGCTTTGCATTGAATCATCTCCTTAATCAGGTATAACTTTTTTTCAAGGGGGTACAATGCAGAGATAATTATCTAGCATGGATTCTCTATAGCAATGGGCAAAACTCACCATGTTCTACCAGTACTGAGCCTCCTTCATACCGTGTAATTTTGTTTTACTAATAGAATGGGAAATGCAGCATCTTGTCCCCAAATGAGTGACTTTTGCAGTCTGATCCCCTTCTCCCTTATCTGCAAATACCACCACCACTTTCTATCTTCATCCTAATGACTACGGTAACTATTACAAAGAGGGACGACAGGGCAAAGATTTCTCCCCTTTTATTTTTTTAAAATCTGTTCTATTTATCCATCACCGGAAGGATAATAAAAAAACTAATATAGGAAAGATAGAATACAATTTTTCTCCTAAGAACAAACATGCATATGATTAATAGTTTCAAAACATGCATATCTGTATGAACTACATCTTGCAACCACCTCTCACATTAACCACATTCAACCATATCTAGATAGCTTTAAGTTGCCCCCTCTTGGAAGTTCTTTTTCAGTTTTCATTTTTGCCATACCCTGAGGCTCTTTCCCAGTGAAAACCAGTTTTTCAAGATAAAGATTTTGCTTTGAAACCATTCCACCAATTTTTATGAAAACTGGCCAATACAACCGCCATTATGGGTATTTGTGTGTGTGTGTTTCTGTGATTCAATTTAACTGATTGCAGAGGAATTTTATCTGCCTTTAACATGCCTGGGGAAACAGCTGATCACCAGATAAATGTTTATCTGTATAACAAAGAATGGCGCCAAGAAAGAAAATAGACATTTTTTTCTTGGCTGTATTTTCTCTCAAAACAAAGCTTCCCAATTTTCTTCCAAGTCTACCCTTATCCTTTGTATTGCTATTACTACGTTTCTGGTTCTAATAAAATAATCACCCATGTAGTGATTATGGATAAAATTCTCAGATTGTTTTTTAACCTAGTGATTATTTGGTAAGGACTCAGAATGACAGCTCATTTTCCTTCCAGCGTATGCACATACATTCACCCTAAGATTATAACTTATTTACAACCAGTAGGGTGGAGATAAGAATTATAATCAAATGCATCTGAAGTTTGAGAAAGATTGAGTTATGTGATTCAACTTACCACAGAAGTCTGGCTTCCTGAGTTATCACTAAGGAGATTACTAAACCCTGAAATAAAAGTATCTTCTAGAAAGTACCATCATGCCTTTTTTCTTCCATTTACATTTTGGGTATGAGGGATTGTCTTTGAAGGAATTAATTGCTGCTGAAAACAGAAGGCTAAATTTGAGGCACAAAACTCCATATTGAATGCTGACATGTCTCTTTAGGACAACAATAAACGATCGCTAAATACTGATCCATTGTATTATAAATGCAAGTGTTATCAAACTCCCCAAAAACACCCAGCAATTTAATTGGAAAAGTATCTGAAGTTGGTATGAGCACAGTACTCATGGTATTTCTGTTCTGGGAAGAGTGCTCATAATCAAGATGCACATATAAAGCAATGTGATTCAGTTCTATTTTTAAAAATGTTTATTTTGGAAAATCACACTACTCTTTTTGAAAATTTGGTTTCAGAATAACACATAACAGATAATCAGAGTTGGAAGGGACCTTGTAGGTCATCTAGTCCAAAACCCCCCCCCCCCACCCAAGTGGGAGACCCTACACCATTTCTGACAGATGGGAGTCCAATCTCTTCTTGAAAGTCTCAAGTGATGAAGCTCCCAAAACTTCCGAGGGCAAGCTGTTCCACATTAGCATGTCATATACATTTTACATGTCATATTTTAAATGTCTTATCAAATTCTCTTGACATATTAGCATGTCAAGAGAATTTGATAAGACATTTAAAATATGACATGTAAAATTATTTTATTTACTTACTGGATTTATATTTTTACATGTTTATTATTACATTTGTTTGCCACCCCTCTCACTACAAGGTGACTCTGACTTACAATGTTAAAAAGAATAAAACTATACAGAAACATGCACATAATAAAATATTATAAAAATGCATCATCATCTCTAACTAAAAGATGGGGAAAGAGAGTAGGATAAGCAGGAGAATGGGTGTAGAAGTAACAACAGATCTATCAGCCACGTCCAGTATGACACTCCCCTATTGGACCAAGCCAATTGGCAGAGCCAGATATTCAAGCTCTTGCAAAAGGTCAGGAGGGCGGGAGCCGATCTTGGGGGTGGGAGTGGGAGTGGAGATGGGAGAAATGGCAGATAAATCTTTTCTGGACTCTGCCAACAAGAATTCCTTGGCCGATGGAGCAGGCCAATCACACTGGGATGAAGTAGCCACCCATCTTCCAATTCTTCCATCTTCCAACTCTAGTCTTCAATGTAATAAAATTATAAATATAAAAGCATTAACATTAACACCAATTAAGTAAAGACTAAAAAAACCAGGAGAATGACCAGTACAGGAGTGGGTACTTGTCTATTATTCTACAAATATCTCCATCAAAGCATGTCCCCACTGGTTATTCAAGCCAACTGGCAAGCCCAGATTTTAAGGCCCTTCTAAAAGGTCAAAACTGTGGTATTGTATCTCACCACTGACAGTAAGATGTTCCAGAGCGCAGGGAGTCATGGTATAAAAGGCTCTTCTCCAAGATCCTGCTAGTTGAAATTCCTTAATCGATAGGATCTACAGCAAGCTCTTTCTTCTGTCAGGGTAAGTGGGGTGGGCCTATTCCATTGTATTTAGTTATGAATGACCAGTAAACTAGCTACAATTTAAAAACAGCACAAAAATGCAGGCTCAAATACAGTGAGAGCAATAAAGCTACTGTACAGAATGCCAATTAAAATGTGCAAATATAAAAAATAAAACCACTATATAGAACTGCCAATTAAAATCTGTAAATATAACAAAATAAAACACAATTCAAAGCAAAATAAGAAAAAATAAAAACAAAATAAAAAGGACCAAAGAAAATTCTGGTGACATCATTCCAAGATTTATGTCTATGGGAGATTCTCAATCATCCAGGTCCTGGCTATCCCAAAGGTGCTTTTTCAAGAGGCAACTGGACTTTCTGTTTTTTCTTTGAGGACGTTTCACTTCTCATCCACTTCATAAACAATGGCACAACTTAGGAAAACAAACCCATTAGGACTAGACAGCAAAGTCTATATTTTGGACAGAGCATTGCTGGTTGAAAAAGGAGTCAAAGAGGCCATCTATGTCAAAATTGATCAGCCCTCTCTCAACAGAGTGGGAGAGAAATGACATCTTCTGTCTCCAATCTACAACACAATCTTTTCAACAGTTCCAAGAGGCTACACGCCCATTTGCACCACTCTGGTGACCCTGATGACACAGATAAACCTCCAGGTGGCCTTAATGACTTGCTAAAATGGGACCTGGAAGCAACCACCAAGATGCTTCCAAGTCAAGAAGTATAAGCTGGTGATGTCATCATTGCCCAAAGGACACTCAAAAGGGCTCCCTTCTTTTGTCGCCACACTGGTTCCAACCAAAGCGGTAACTATTTATCTACTCATGTTTTTACATGCTTTTTAGATTTAAAGGTAGTAATGAGTTACAGGAACAAAGAGGTCAGAGAGACTGAGGTCAGCTGGCAAAGCCACCAAAAGGAATTAGTGGTGTCAATGGACATCAGAAAACATAAGCGTGAGTCAATAAAAATTGGGGATATAAGGCCTCTGACCTCTGATGAGATCATTCCATAACATGCAAATTAAAAGATTATAAACCATCCAGAGTTACTCTGTGGTAAGATGGGCGACCAATAAATTTTACAAAAAATAAATAAATCTGAAATATAGCATGGGACCTGGAAGATTTCTTGCAAAAACACTGAACAGAATTTAAGGGCTTTAAATCATTGTAGATAGATATTTGTGTGCTATACAGCATTTGGGCTTTATCGGGCTTATTGGCCAAAGTATGCATTTGCTATTGTTAGAATATTAAGAAACCCAGGATTGCACTCTTACTGGCTTTAGCAGAAGTGACTCTAGATTGTTCTTACTAACTTCCATAAACTTGAAAAATTACTTCAGCATATTTTAGAGAGGAAGTTATTCTATTTTGTTTATTCCTATTCACCACTGATGTTTATGGCAGCTTGATGTTCTCAAGAAAAGAAAAAAATAGTTTTGGAGTAATTAATTGTAAGCCTTTTGCCCCTGCAGAATTTTGCTAAGGCCTGATATTCCTCCTAAGGGCCACCTATGTAAGCAAGAGATTTTTGCATTGCTAGGATATACCAGCATTGCCAAATGTCTGTCCCTGAGCTTAGTAAGGTAAACAATTTTCTTTCTTCTTCTTCTTTTTTTGGTAAATGCAACAGCCATTAAATTTATATAAATATTAAACTAAAGGGAAGACAACATCCATCCCTCTTTCATCCCTCAGCAGATTAGAATATCTGTAGCACATTAGGATAGCCAGCCTTATTGTACAGTATCTAACCCTAGTCATTAAGCATGCAGCTCAAAATAGCTTATACCTTTTAATAAATTGTTATTTGGAAAAAAGTGCTTTCAAAATATCCCAATTTTTGCACATGGTTCTCCTACAAAGAATATAAATTTATGTGTGCAGCAGGGGGCATACTTTGCATGATCTCAAGAAAACTATGAAAGCTGTACCTTCATGGAGAGACAACTGGGAAATAGCAAGGTGTAAAATGGAAAAGAATAAAATTGAAGAATCTCCTTGTAAGCAAATTATGCAGGATATACCAAGAGTATACAAAGTCACAAATATTAAGTTTTATGATGCCAGGAAATAACAAGACTTTTAAGTTACTTTGGACAGATCTATTCTCACTAGAAATTATGTGTTTATTTCTCCTTTACCACTCTCTCTCCAGCAACCGTTCAATTGGGGGCTAATCACCGAGTATTCAGGGCCATTCTATGCAACTGGCAACTGTGTGAATCAAGAAATAGCCAATATCTTGAGGAACATTTACATATCAGATTGCTCAGTGTTAGAACCAGGAGAGGTCAGGGCCTAAACTAAAGATAAAGTTTAAAAACTAGCACTCACTTTAATGCCTTCCTATTCCTGCATTTGTTGAAAGCAAAAGGAAAAGAAAAGAAAAGTAGGGGATGGTTTTTCCCAAAGGTGCTTTTTCCAAGGGGCAACTGGACTTTCTGGGTTTTTTCTTTGAAGACCTTTCACTTCTCATCCAAGAAGCTTCTTCAGCTCTGACAGGATAGTGGGGAATGAAAGAGTTTTTATTCTTCATTGACCCTCTAAAACAGGCTTGTCCAACCTGCTGCTTCTGCCCCCGCCGCCGCTGCTGCTTCTGCCCCCGCCGCTGCCACCGCGGCTGCTGCTTCTGCCGCTGCCATTGCTGCTTCTGCCCCCGCCGCCGCTGCATTTGCAGGAGGAGAGGTAGGCGCAAGGCGGGTCGAGGCGAGCAACAGAAAAGGCGGGCAGCCGCAGCCCAAAAGTCCCGCCCCGCCACCTCCTGCTGTTGCCGCCGCCGCCGCTGCTGCTTCTGCCCCCGCCGCCGCTGCTTCTGCCCCCGCCGCCACCGCTGCTGCTTCTGCCCCCGCCGCTGCTGCCGCCGCTGCTGCATTTGCAGGAGGAGAGGTAGGTGTGAGGCGGGCGAGCTTTCTTCCCCCCCTCCCCCCCGCAAAATTTGGCCGGAAAATTAATAAAAAATAAATAATTTGCAGGAGGAGAGGTAGGCACGAGGCGGCTGAGCTTTCTTCCCCCCCTCCCCCCCCCACCCCGCAAAATTTGGCCGGAAAATTATAAAATAAAAAATAATTTTTAATAAATAATTAATAATAAATAATAAAAATAATTTTATTTTATTTTATTTTATTTTATGTGCGGCCCAAACCAAATTTTCATCTTCTAATGTGGCCCAGGGAAGGTGAAAGGTTGGACACCCCTGCTCTAAAAGAATACAAATGACCAGCTGTCTGCAAGGAATATCAATCCTTCCATTCTCCACCGTTCTGTCAGAGCTGAAGAAGCTTCTTGGATGAGAAGCAAAACACCTTCAAAGAAAAACCCAGAAAGTCCAGTTGGCTCTTGGAAAAAAATGCACCTTTGGGACAACCATCACCCAGATGACTGAGAATCTCCATAGACATTTAGAGGACGGATTATAAAATATCTGGGGTCTTGATTTACAGGAATCACAACTGTCAATTTTGGATTTCTGGGATAGTTTTTTACATAAATTTCAAAACACCTCTATCCAGGCTTCCGACAAAACAGGTTTCCCAAAATCATATTTGATTCTGTACCTTGTCAAACGTTTTGATATTTGGAAGATAAATCTCAGCAAGGACCCTTTGGGGTCGTTGGTGGGGGGGAGAAGAAGTACGTAGAAAGCTAAAAGCCCAAAGAACCAATCTTGAAATCGGAGCCACGATTACGTTGCACCCCCCTCCCGTTCATCAGCTGTCCGAGTCCGGCAGTTTCCGATAAGGCGCATTCCATGGTCCTTCAAAAGACCCGGATTAAGGCCACCCACCAACCCCCCTCAGCCGCAGAAGGTCACTGGGTGGTGACCCGATGTCCGCGTCCATTCTCAGACCACCTCAAGGGGGGCTTTTGTCGGAGAAACCTGAAGGCGGGTGGTTGAGCTCCTGAGGGAAAAGCAAAATATAGTAAATCGAGGAACCGAGGCAGCATTTTACAGGGCTATTGCTTCTCTCCGTAGATATATATATATATATATTTTAACCTATTCTGAAAAGGCTTCCCTCAAAAGAAAGGGATAAAAGAGAGAGAGAGGGAGCAGTAGTCGACTCACACCCGCTCCTTCTGGCCGGAAAGCAGCGCGCTCTCACCTGAGACTCACCTGAGGCAGTGAAACCCCACAGCACAGGTTGAAGTCTGACTGCGCCTGCGTAACCCAACCCCTCCGCTACGCCAGAGGAAGCTTCATTTCTCGTATGTGAAGGAACGGCTGCGGCGTGCTTATTTGGCCCTTCTCGTATCCCATACATGAGGCGAAACCAACTCTCCCGCAGCCTGGGAGGGAAGGAAAAGTAAAAAAAGAACGATGGAAAGGGGTCAGGTTATTATTGGAGTTAGGTCCAGGGAGCGCTGTCCGACAGGGCGGCTTTGACATACTGAGAAAAGGGTTTTGGGGGCTGGGGAAACAAACGCCAGCCTTCCGGCTTCGGAGGACGTCCCAGAAAGAGCGACGAAATGATCTCGACCCATCTGCCGCCTCCCCGCCCTCGGCTCGCGCTGAGCCAATGGAAGTCTAGTGGGCGGGGCTCAACGGGCAGCCGTGGCGGCTGGGTAATGGCAACCCTGTGAGGAGGGTCTGGAAGATCAGTCTACGCGTGAGATACACACGGTGTGGCGAGGGCGTGGGGACGCGACGCTGACCCAGGCCTTTCCTGTTGCCAGGTAACAGCAAAAGGGAAGAGGCTACGGTGGTGTATGAGTGTGTGGTGGTGGTGGTGGGGACGCTATTCCTTCTCCGATCTTCCCTCAACCCCCCCTCCCCCCGCGCGCGAGATCTTCTTTCATCGCTCCCCGGAGGATCCGGTGCCTCCCTGCCTGTCTCTTAATTTCCCTCTTCTCCGTTATCTCCGTCTTCGGTACACTGACAACCCCCTCGTTCACGGCTGGTCGGCAGCAGCCTCTTCCCGCCCCCATCCCGATCACCGACCGCTTGGCTTCTCTCCTTTCCCCGCTGTCGTTGTTCAATGTGAGTATGCGAGACACACGCGTGCAACACACCCGTGTTTCGACCGGATCTCCTGACAACCGCGCCGGCTTTAGTCCCTTGGAATCTGCAGGGCGTTAAAGGCTGCCGGGTGTGGATGCTGGAAATAGGCACCGAGCAGGCCCTGAACCCCGCAAGGCATCCACCACATCCGTGCGTCAGTGGACAAGGGGAGAAAATTCACAAGAGGATCGCCCAGTCCACAACAGTGTATTTGTTTCTTCCCTCATCGGGTATTGGAGTGGGCTAGGGACGGCTGGGTTGAAAAAGAAGATTTGCACGATCCTGAAGCAAAACCGGCTGATCCAGTGTTGTTGTTTTTAACCGTGTTATTCCCTTTAATCTCGGTGATGAGATATAAGGTAAATCGCCTTCCAACTCAGGGGTGTCCCAACTTCTGCCGTTGTTTTTTTTTTTTTTTTTTAACTTGTAGATTCAGGAAAAGAAAAAAAAAGGATGCGAAAATGACGATTAAATACTAGCCAGAACTTAAAAGTTAGAAAGTTATATTTAAATCGTACATCTCAAAGACATAAACCCCCGCCCCAATAGCGTTTTTCTCCACGAGGATGGCCTCATGCCATATCAACCAGACAGAGGATATTTACTTTGCTTTCGCAATACTGAGGATAGCAGGAGATTGTGCTCTAGTTTAGAGTTTGTGATATAGAAGGGCAGCCAGGTTATAAGGCGTGTGGGGAAAGTAATTTGCTGACATGATGAATACAAATATTATGTCACTTGTACTTATTCTAGTAATGTAATGGTTTTTATAAAAAGTGCTCAAATTAGTCTGCATTACTGTTACTATTAATCTTCTCATTGTTCCTATCACTCATCTTCTCCCACTTGTGACTGTATGACTGTAACTTTGTTACTTGTATCCTTACTATTTATATTGATTGTTTCCTAGGATGATTTGATTGCTTATTTGTACCCAGTGACTATCATTATGATTCTTAACAAATGTATCTTTTCTTTTATGTACACTGAGAACACATGCAACCTACTCTTCAGATTCTGTTCCATTATCTATTATAATAGAAATAAGCTAGTTTTCTTGATATTATGTTATTTTTATACTTTCTTTCACCTAAAAAGTTTTCCTTGAAATTGACCTATTTGAGTTTCATCCAAAATATTCTACCCTGACTTAGGATATGTAATTCAGGTGGCAGTAATAATAATCATATGATATAAGGATTAATCATCAGCTCAACTGCAACTTTTTAGTGGCAGTGAATGGTAGAGTTCTATAGGAAAGTTCAGAGGAAGTACCAGCCTTTCTAGCAATATAGAATGTTTTTGACATAGATATTTTAACCAAAAATAATAATATTGGTATTTCAAATATATATAATATTTGCGGAAGATATAATTAATAATTTGGATTATTATTTTTTGCAGATTCATTTTACTTTCCCACAATGTCCTTGAAACCACGAGTAGTTGATTTTGATGAAACATGGAACAAGCTTCTCACAACTATTAAAGCTGTTGTTATGCTGGATTATGTTGAAAGAGCAACATGGAATGATCGCTTCTCGTATCCTTTTGTTAGAGGACAGATACTGATTACACAAGATTAAATGATGTACAGAAATTGATTTCTTTACAGAACAGAGCTGAATAAAATATGTTCAGCATCAGCTCTAGCACCAATATATTTTATAACATAGAGTCCGTTAATAATTATTTATGGTATACACCAGGGATGTCAAACTGGATTTCTTAAAGGGCTGGGCATTGTACTTCTCCATGGGCCAGCCACAGGAGGAGGGAGATGGGATGGATGCCTCCTGCAAGACCCTGTTCCTGTTTTAGCTGGAAGAGTGCTGTGAGAGGTTGGCCAGACCGAAAATGGGGTAGGGGTGCACACGGCCCCCCTGGAAGCCCATTTTGGCTGCCAGAGGCACCACAGACCAGCCCTTTGCTATTTCCAGGCTAGCGCACCAGGCCAGATTTAAGCACCCCTGACACCCCAGGTATATTCAGTAGATTAAGCAAAGTCTAATAATTTGCTAAGAATGGTATGTCTAAACTATAAAGAGTATGTTTAGTATATGATTCTATGCAAATCTGTTCTGAATTGAAAATGTAATTTCTAATTAGGAAAGTATTATTCTAATCAAACCTGCCAGTTGTTCTGGCTGTTCTTGCTAACCTCATTTGAACTACTTTTAAGCTTTATTCTGGTCCCACAAAAAAGCACAAAACAGATTTTCATTTGGAATTATTTTGATGAAAGACTAGCTAGAAGTAGAGAATCATATGTTCTAGAGGAAATGATAGATGCTTGTCTTCCATCTCACTAGCTATTTTGGATCTTGTAAACTTCTGTTTCAAGGGCAATATGACCTATTACTTGTGCTTGACCTAATGAGTTGTGCTGAGTTGGATATAATCTAGCTGCAGTTCATAGATATTTTATTATATGAGGGTGACCATGAAAGGGAGATTAAAGTTTTTTGTGGAACAGAAGAAAACTACAGCTAGGAAGTGAAAGTTCAGGAAATCTTTTTCAAGGACTATGCATCAGTAGCTATAGATCTAGTCTGACTGCTGAACTGAAATTTATATGCCACCTTTATTTTCTTTAGATGTAAGATGTTATATAATTCTATCCATTTGTAAACTAAGCTTAGGTTAAGCTTAGTGTATTGTGTGTTGCAGAATGCTGTGCTTTATTGACTTCAGGTAGCATGGCTAACAATAATGTGAGAAGCTAGCAACTGTCCCTATTAGTACCAACTTTTTAAAAGTCTTCCTAAATGACATATATGAATGTTTACTTTAAAGGGAGGGTCCTGTGCTCCTGTCTCCAGCTTTTTCTGTAGATTACTATTAACTTAATTCATTCGTGTCTTTTAACTATGCTTTGTGAAAGAAAGCAAAAATGAATGTTCTCAAAAATGTTGATGGATAATTAATATATTATCTTTGTGAAAGAAGGTAGAAAAAAATTTCAGTCATGCTTAGTAGATTTAAATGTGGCATATATATCTAGGGGAAAATATCTTGAATCCTACTTTAAAAATATACATTGTTTTACTCTTTTTAATCAGATGGAAGCTGTGTTTAGTAGTATCATAGATTTTAATCCCTCTTTAAGTTAAGATATGTTCCTTGTGGAACTGTACCAAGATTAAGCATGCTTTGGATATTGTGTATCCTGGTATAGCTTTCGGTCTTTTGGAAAAGAGCAATAGAAGGCCACATAGCACTTTTATTTGAAGCAGTAGAGTAACCCACTATCTCTTACCTTTTGACCTTCAGATCTCCTCTGTTTGAACCTCTTTGGAAGTGAGATATTTCTGGCCCTGCTATGTTTGTGCCACCCTCCCAGCAGATGTATGACAACTTAAGTCTGTTTCTAGAAATAACTGAGTGTTTTATGACTTCATTTTATAAAATAATATTATAAAATAATAACTGTTTTTATGTATTGGGTCCAGGTTACCTTCAGAATGTTGTTGGTTTTTTTCACACTAAGGAGCTCTTTTTAAATTCAGTTCTGCCCTCTCCTTTATTTATTTATTGCCAAATAAATAAGACCATTTCTTTTTGCACAGGGTCTGGTGATTTTGCCCTGCCTCTGACTTCACACAATCACTTTTCACAAAATCTTGCTATTTATTTATCTCAGTATTTTTCAGACCTTACAATTGAAAGAGAGCGCAAGTAGTCCTTGACTTATGACCACAATTGAGCACAAAATTTATGTTGCCAAGTGAGAAATTTGTTAAGTGGGTTTTGCCCCGTTTTATGACTTCCCTTGTCACATTTGTTAACTGAATCACTGCAATTGTTAACTTAGTAACACGGTTGTTAAGTGAATTTGGCTTCCCTGTTGACTTTGTTTGTCAGAGGGTCACAAAAGGTCATCACATGACCCTGGGGCACTGCACCTGTCATAAATGTAAGTCAGTTGTCAAACATCCGAATATAAATCACGTGACCACAGGGATCCTTGTAATGGTCATAAGTGTGAAAAATGGTCATAAATCACCTCGTTCAGTGCCTGTGTAACTATAAACGGTCACTAAATGAAATATTTTATGTCGAGGACTACCTGTATACAGATACTTAAATCCTGCCCTTTAGATAAAGGTCTAACCTCCATTTGAACATTGCAATAAATAACACCATCGATCTTGTTAATTGGTTCATTGTCAGCCAACTGTATTAGTAACTTTTTCTTGTCTTTTGGTTAGAAAGTCTTCCTTCCTCATTTGTTAGGTTTTTTAATACCACCTTTATTACTTTATGAATAAACTCAAGGCAGTGAACATACATAATACTCCTTCCTTCTCCTATTTTCCAACAACAACAACCCTGTGAGGTGTATTGAGTTGAGAGAGTGACTGGCCCACTGTTTCATACCTACAGTGGGACTAGACCTCAAGGTCTCTAGCCTGAGGCTTTAACCACTAGGCCAAATTGGCTCCTGTGGTTTCAAGCCTGTGGTTTGCAACAAGGGAAAACATTTAATGACCTTTCAAATGTTTATAAAAAAGTTTTATCATACCTTTGTTCAATCATATTTTTTTCAAGGCTGTTCCAAGTTCTTTGACAAAATTGGGTGTTGTTTTTAGGAACTAAAAGCATGGTGATCTATAAACTGCGAATGGGTGTGATTTTCAACTTAGCATGGAAGCAAAACAATTTTTTTGAAGACATACACCTCTATATAGTATTTTCACAGTAATGGTATGTAGTCAGGCTAAAAAACACATAAAAATGCTAAGTAAGCCCTTTAAAAAGTTGACACAGGAAAGACCAAATTTGAGTTCTCGGATCAAGCTTTCTAGCCCCAAGGAAGGCAACTATGCCAACACACTTGTTGAAATTCTGTAGCAAGGTTTGGTGGGTTAGTGAGTAACAGGCTTGTGCTCTAGATTTGAACAAATCATCTGGTCTTTATAAAACTGATTTGGAAGACAGTTTCCTTCCCATAGATTCTGTCCAAAGGACTTTTACACAATATCCCATGAATACATGGATGCTTTGCACTTAATTCCTTATAGTGCTGTATTTTGGAGAAACTTCTCCCTTCCACCCCCAAGGTGTTCTGAGAGGCAGGAAATCACAGAATTCACACACACACGCACGCACACACAGCCTAAAGAAGCTTGAAAATCATGGCTCTTCAAACTGGAAAAGGCCAATGAATCAATCTCTTTGAAACTCCAGTAAGACATTGGTTTTCTTTTTCCTTTCTGTCAATATTTCATTAGAACTTGAGTTACAAAAACATAAAACATTTTAGCCTTGACTTAATACCCAGAGACATTTATGCTTTGTGTGTGGCCTATCCCGAACCTCTTGGAGAGAGACTTTATATGGAAACTAAAACTTTTTTGGAAAATCATGTACGCCATTTGCACAAGGTAATCATTTATGGAAAGTAAAAATGTTAATATTGCATGTCAGAATTAAGTAGTGTGCAAGCTATTTTATAGTCTGCTGGAAGAAAACAATCATTTGGGGTTTCTTTGTTTTTCAAACAAGATATAAAGGTGTTAATATGTTATATGTTAATATGTTATGGTACTTCCTAAATGTTTGAAATAGTCCATAGAGTTGAATTTATTATACAGGGAGTTGCATTTTATCATTTCAAATAAAATAGAGCATGAACATTAAAATTAATCTATTTCCTCTGTTTTTTTCCATAGAAAGTCTTGGACTCTGAAGAAAAAATATTGGTAATGTATCATAGAAACTGGGATGAATACAGTAAAGGGGCAGACTATATGGACTGTTTATACAGGTAAATGCATCTTGAACTTATTCTAGAATTTGGAAATGTGATTACTCTTAATTGAGTTATGGTTTTGATCCATTGTTTTATTGCTTGTTGTGAACATGCCTATCTAATTTTCATGAGGAGAATCTTGCAAAATGTACAAAGTGGAAGGTTTTCAGACATGGCTAATCACATAATATCAAAATGAAAATTTATTGCATTCATGACACGTGTTTCCCACTCCTGCTATTATATTGATAAAACAAAATAGGACCACAGACCATCTGGAAACTCTGTCTCTCTCTTTTTTGCATCATATCTGGTGTGTGTCTGGTGGAAGGTAGAAAATGGAACAGGATTTTTAGAGACACATCTGCACACATCTGTGTTTGTTTCTTACAGTGCTTTTAGAAGAAAGTGTTTATTTCTAATAGATACTATGACCTTAGCTCAGTGTTTTTCAATCTTGGCAACTTTAAGGTATGTGGACTTCAATTCCCAGAATTCCCCAGTCAGGCAAGGTTCAGAAGCACTATCTTAAAGTTGCCAAGGTTGAAAGATATTGCCTTAGCTTAAAAGGTCCTTGGTGCTTTCTGAACTTGGTTGTTTTCTCGCAGACCTTTGTAACATGAACAGTGCCAGTGTTGTCACCAGTTTGGGCAATGAAACTTTTGCAAAAAAAACCAGCCAAGCTCAAAGAACACCAAGGGTCTCTCATTTGAACCTGAGCTATAATTATTCTCCTTTATTGGTTAACAAATTATACTTTTCAGTAAAAGAGGATGTATGTAATTCATATCAAACTCCACATTTTCTTAATGCTTTTTAATTATTTCTTTTCCTCCCTCTCATTCACAGAAGAGATTCTTGTTGTAGGTTTGTTATGCTCATGCTAGTCAACAGTTTTAGTACATTTACTCTCTGGCTTGTTTTTAGTCTAGAGATGAGAAAGAGGGGAAAAATGCTTTTCTACATCGTTTCGAATTCCGGCACCTTTGTCAAGCTATCAAGTCATAGTTATCTTGTGCATCCTTATAAAACTGTTACCTGCTCTGCCCTTACTAATTCTTCAAACTTTTCTACCAACCAGTCCATTCCATAGAGCTCTCTTTCAGATCATGCTGGATCCTGAGTTGCAGGTTCCTCCTCCTGCTATACTTAGATTCACGCAGTACACTTGCAATACCAGCCAACCGCCAACAGTCTCTTCTAGTGCCTAACACAGTGGTGGCTAACCTTTTTCAGCTCTCATGCCAAAAATTGTGTGCGCGCTCACGCGTATGTGCCAGCACCCAGAAGGCAATGCACATGCGCCCCCAGTCCCTGCGCATGCAAACACACCCCACGTCACGCATCTCTGTCCATGCACGCACGTCTCCTGCGCCTCCCTGCCCCCCACACATGCGCACCAGATACCCGGCAATCAGCTGTTGGGCAGGCAGCATGCGCGCATGTGCAGTGAGGCTCTTCAAGGCGACCTCTTGCGTGCCGACAGAAGTGACTCTGCATGCCACTTCCAGCACACATGCCATAGGTTTGCCATCACGGGCCTAACACTTCTGCCTTTTCATTTGTTTTCATTAAAAGACAGAAGTGTCTGCTCTTGGGTATCTTAAACAGGCTGGAAACTTCAAGATCTCTACATGACAGTTTGCCTTAAAATGGTTTTAAACTTGAAAACATCAAGTTTTTACATCATCCCATGTCCAACAGGGCAGTCCCCCTACCAGATAATGTTCACTATAAGGTCAGTTTACCTGTAGGAAACCTTAATTGGAAATAGAACCACAGGCTGAAAGCTCAGAGTTGTCAGTAATTGTAAGTTTGTATCATGCTTTTATTCTCTCTCTCTCTGTCAACTGATTTCTCCAGGAAATCAGCCAAAACTTGAGTGCCAGCCAAGCTTGGAACATGATAGACATTCGTCATCTTAACACGCATACATATTCCTTGGGTCTAAAATTGTTTTTAAAAACTACTGTGCATTTCCTGTTATTTTCTCTTCCATAGAACAGTTTTATAAAATATCTGATAAGAAATTTTTCCATCATAGATACCTCAATACGCAGTTTATTAAAAAGAACAAATTGACTGAAGCTGATCTTCAATATGGTTATGGAGGTGTGGATATGAGTGAACCATTGATGGAGATTGGAGAAGTAAGTAGTATGGAAAAGAACTTTGAAGAAGTAACTGTAACGTACATATTTTCTGACCACCCAATCATCCATTAAGATAATTTCTGGCTTTCCAAAATCATGTAGTTTGTTCAATCCAGAAAACAAAGCTTGCTTTTATTATTTTCCTTAATAAACACTTGCAGCTATTAATTGGCTTTTAACTAGATTTTGATTTACGGACAAAAAGTAATAAGATAGGATTCCATTGCAGTCAATGGGATTAAATCAAACTAAGTTATACTGATTTCTGAGAGCCATAAACCAGCCAAAGTTGTAGTATTTGTTGATACCTGTTCATAGCATGTCAGAGAGATATTATACGTAGAACAAATAGACAATAAGGGATATAAACCTGGCCTTTGAAATAGGGAGGGAATGATCAAATTGTTAAGGAGAGACTCTCAGAAAAAAAAAATTAGCCTTCAGAAAGTGGAAAGCAGAATAAAAAACTTAAAGATAAGATGACTTCATTTTTGTTTGCCATAAGATGGGACATACAAAAACTCCAACAGGCTTGCAAGATCTTTTACTCTACTACGATAAAGAACATTCATAGAGTCCCTGCTATTTACTACTACTACTATTTACTGATTTGTTTTTAATTTTTTTGGTTGAAAGTAAAAAATAAACCAAGGGCTGCTTAATTATTGTACAACATTAATAGTCATTTCATTGAACTCTTTCTTAAAATCCTGTATTTTAAACAAAATATTTACCTCATGCAGCCCTAGATTTTTTCCCCAGAATTTGGGGTCACTCCAAAAGTTCCTTTTAAGTGTGCTTAAAAGTTATGCGTATACCCCATCTTCCCTTCTCCCAAGAAAGTATGAATAGGACCAAAATAGTCTTTCAAAAACCACATGTAATATAGTATATTTCCTTTTTATCAAGGAATTGAAACTGCTGTTATACATATATAATGTATAATCTATGGAAGTAATGTATATCAGTAATGTAAACATATCCATGTAAGCAGTTTTGAATTAAGTACAGGTATTCCTCGACTTACAACCACAATTGAGCAAAAATTTATGTTGCTAAGTGAGAAATTTATTAAGTGAGTCGTTTTCCATTTTACAACTTTTCTTGCGACATTTGTTAAGTGAATCACTGCTTTTGTTAAGTTAGTAACACGTTAAATGTTAAATGCATCTGGCTTCCCCATTGACTTTGCTTGTCAGAAAGTTGCAAAAGATTATCACATGACCCTGGGATACTGCAACCGTCATAAATGTGAACCAGTTGTCAAGCATCCAACAGATAAATCACCTGACCATGGGAATGCTGAAATGGTCATAAGTGTGAAAAAATGGTCATAAGCCACTTTTTTTCAGTGTCGCTGTAACTTCAAATAGTCACTAAGCAAACTGTTGTAAGTCGAGGAGCACCTGCATCTGCTAAATATTGTACTTAATATGTTTAGGCATAATATATTTTATGCCAGGTTTTCTATCAACAGATAAATAATTCATCAATTCCAAAGAGCTACTTATTCATGAATATTAGATGCAATTTGGTCAATGGAGAGTAATTTGTTAGAAAAAGAAAAACTATTAGGGTTTAACAAAAGCACAAGGAAACAATCCTCCTTCATTTCTTTTCAAATGACAGGAAACCAGTAAGGTTTTTATTCGGTAGATACTCAGTTGCTGGAGATTTCCTTGTAAAAGGAAGAATGTTGCACTTTATTTTGCTATTTAGTATCCTTTCAGTGTATCCCTGTGTTTTTGAAGCATTTGAGACTGAGCATTTTTAAAAAAAATAAGAATGAATGAAATGACAGTTCTATTATTGACTTTGTTTTTTATCGTACCATGACAGCTAGCACTTGATATGTGGAAGAGATTAATGATTGAGCCCTTGCAGGCTGTCCTCATTCGAATGTTGCTCCGCGAAATTAAAAAGTAAGTGCTTTTTTAAAAAACAAAAATGTATTACGTAGAATAACTTGTTTGAATGCATATGCATTTATTACATCGTGAGAATTGTATTTTATGCAAACTGTATGTGAGATACAAGGCTGTTGGTATATTTTGATTGAAATAATTAAAGCCAACTTTTCACTACAAGTATTTACCAGTATGCCTAAATAAAGCAAGTGTTTTCTGCTATAAAGTCAAGAAATATGTTCTAGTGAATAAAAGCTATGGGAATGTTAGAACCATTGGACTTCAGTAAGGCATTTGATAAAGTAAACCATAACCTACTACTTGATAAGATAGGAAAATGTGGATTAGACAGCATCCCCCAGATGATTTGAAACTGGCTGAGCAATCACACTCAGCATGTAGTCCTCCTCAATGGAACTGCATCTACATGGATGGAAGTGTGCAGTTGAGTATCCTAAGTTTTAGGACCAGTATTCTTCAACATTTTCATCAATTATTTGGAGAAGGGAATAGATGAGGAACTCATCAAATTTGCAGATGACACCAAGTTAGCAGAAATAGTCAGCACTCCAGAAGATAGCCTTAAGATATAGAAAGATTTTCATAGACTTGAACATTGGGCACTATCTAACAAAATGAAATTCAATGGTGAAAAAAGTAAGGTTCTACATTTAGGTAAGAAAAGCAAAATGCACAGGTACAGTATATGTGGTACCTTGCTCAATAGGAGTAACTGTGAGAGGGATCTTGGAGTCCTAGTGGATAATCATTTAAATATGAGCCAGCAGTGTGCTGCAGCTGCCAAAAAAGCCAATACAGTTCTAGGCTGCATTAACAGAGGGATAGAATCAAGATCACGTGAAGTATTAATACCACTTTATAATGCCTTGGGAAGGCCACACTTGGAAGACTGCATCCAGTTTTGGTCGCCACAATCTAATAAAGATGTTGAGGCTCTAGAAAGAGTGCAGAGAAGACAACAAAGATGATTAGGGACTGGAGGTTAAAGCAGAATGGTTGCTGGATCTGGATATGTCTGGTCTAATGAAAAGAAGGGCTGGGGGTGACATGATAGGAGTGTTCTGATATCTCAGAGGCTGCCAGAAAGAAGAGGGAGTCAAGCTATTCTCCAAAGCACCTGAAGGTAGAACAAGAAGCAATGGAGGAAACATCAAGGAGAAAAGCAACCTACAACTAAGAAAATTCCTGACAGAGCAATTAATCAGTGGAACAACTTGCCTTCAGAAGTTGTAAATGGAAGTTTTAAAGAAGAGATTGGATAACCATTTCTCTGAAATGGTATAGACCTCTGATGGCAAACCTATGGCACGCGTGCCAGAAGTGGCACGTAGAGCCATATCTCTGGGCACGTCAGCCGTTGGTCTTCCAGGTTCTGGCACACACCGGACAGCTGGTTTTTGCACATGCAGGAGCGCCGGAAACTGGAAGAGCACCTCCCGACAAGTGTATGCATGCACACTGGCCACCTGGTCTTCTGGTTTCTAACGCTCATACACGCATGAAGAACAGCTGGCCGGCATGTGTGTTTCAGCACTAGGTGCCTTTTTGGCATATGCATGCTCCCGTTTCGGCACTCGGTTAACCACCTTTGGTATAGGGTTTCCTGCCTAAGTAGGTGGTTGGACTAAAAGACCTCCAAGGTCCCTTCCAACTTTATTATTCTATATATTCTCACTCCACTAGTTATTGAAGCCCATCTTTTTTATAACTCTAGCATAGAATATTTAAATAATTCCATTAGTAAATGGCTCTTGTGATTTTAAAATTATTTTAAATTGGGCATATTAAAGAGTTTACAGAGTATTGTATAAATGTTTTTTTTAAAAAAAGGATTGACCCCAGATTAGATTCCTTTCTGAAATTCTGAATGTGTTACAGAACTGATCAGCAGTACAAGCTTCAGCTACTTCTGTCAGTCAGCCTTGTTTCAGGGTAAGGCTTTGAGTGTCAGCAATATAAAAACCTTGCATATTCTATAGCTAATTAGCAATTATATAGAAAAGTCAAGTCTAGGCCATCTGTTAATTGATTTATTTGTAATTATATACCACTGAATTCAGCAAAAATGACTCCTGCTGGTTTACAACATGCTATATTTGACTGTATGCTGACATTAATTTGTAATATCTGTTGCAATATAGAATTTGTTGATGAAACACAGTATTCTTAAGTTTTATTATTATTTTAGGATCTCAGTATATTTATTTATGGCCTGGGTTATATCTAGTATTACATATAAATACATACAGTACATAAGAGAAATGAGCCCAAGTATTATCAAATTTAAAGCAGATGTCAGGTTTTTTTAATGTCTACTTATTCAAATATGTATGTACACTTTTTTGTGAAAAATAATTATTTTAGGTATTTTGAGGAAGGCTATCTATCCCTCCCTCTCCCCCCCTCTCTCTATCTATCTATCCATCCATCCATCTATCCATCCATCTTCTTCCTCAAAAGGTGTGTGTGTGTGTGTGTGTGTGTAAGTAAGATCAATTTGAAATAATTGAGGTTGAATTTATTTAATAAGAAAAAGAGTATATATGTCTTCCTCCTTTTATATAGAAATATAATAGGACACATGGAAGTGGTGCTCCTAGTATATTTCACTATTTTTTTCACTGTTCTGTATTTTTTCTTACAGCAAAGGTTTACAGTAGCTTACAAGAGAGACTGTTTATAATTCTTGATGTCTGTTCCTTTCTAACCTCTTGTATTTATCTTTTATGTTTTTTGGTGGTGGTGGTATAAACTGCTATCGTATTCAGTGGCTGGTTGATTTTGATCTATCTGTCGATCTACTTTCGTAAATGTGTTATATTGGTGGAAATAGAACAATCACATTTAAAAGATTGTAGTAGAACTTTGTATGCTCAGCAACTGCACTATGCCTCATGCTCTTCCACTCAAAAGTAAAATATTCTAATGTAATCTGCCTTGGGTATGCTGAGAACATCATTTTAGTTATATATTGATAACAAAGAAAAAGAAATTCTAGACATAAAGGAGACTCAAATACAACTACTTCTAAATCTTCAAATGTTGATTTGTAGAAGATTCAGGTTTGCAGCAAGTTCAGGACTTAATGGTATAATGAGTTATCAGAATTAAGTTAAATAACGTTGCAACTTGGGTGAATTTAGATGGTTTCATGTAGGGAAATGTTGTGTAGTATTAATATTTGGAGCCAAACATTGAGTGGCACATTATTCAGCTTCAATTTCAGCATCATTGATTTGGGAATTTCAGCATCATTGATTTGGGAACGCTTGAAAGGAGATAGAAAGGAAGTAAAATTGGCCATGGCCCCACAGCATTAAACTTTGCTGGGTTGAATATGATCAATTCATGACTAGTTAGATAATTATTTGCAATCAAAACAGTATGTCAAAAGCTGGTGTTCAGTCAGTGCTTTGGTAGATAGGACAAATGAAATAAGGAATACTTGTAGAAAGAGTAAATTTGCAGTAAGTTTTTGAGTAAAAAAAGAACATTGAAGGCAAAAGGAGAAGGGGACAACAGAGGGTGAGATGGTTAGATAGTGTCATTGATGCAGTAGGTATGAATTTGGGCAAACTTAGGAGACACTGGAGGATTGGAGTGCGCTGGCATGCTATGGTCCATGAAGAATCAGACATGACTTAGCAACCGAACAACACCAAAGAACAAAGAAAAAAACTCATATAAGAGTATGAATTTTGAATTGCCCTTTGAATGATCAATTTTAAATAATGAATTAGCTGAATTAGTTGAAATAGTCTTGAAGTTAATCTACTAGCATATTTGGTGTGGAAGCCCAAAGCAAGTTCACGTCTAAATCCAAAATCCCTGACAAGATTGTTTGTTTATTGCCCTTTTTGAGAATCATCTGGTTCTTTTTTTTTCCCCTCAGACCCCTGGGTCTGAGGAAAAAGTCAATGTGCTATCTGTTTATTATTACCGTTCCATACATTATTTCCACTCAGTTATATCTAGACTGCTGCTTGATTCCAGATTTTAACCTGCTTGGTGTAAAGAACAGTATAAGTATAACAATATAAGTGTAGTGTAAGTTGTTAAATATCAAAGTTATCCTTTCCTTCTGGCGTATGCTTAACGGGAATATTTTGATGGATGAAATAGCTTTTCTCTTGATGGTTTATTTGCTGGCATGCCCTCCTTGTTGCCTCAGATAGTAGTGATTGTAACTACTACTAGTTGTAACTATCTTAATTTCAATCTGGAGCCTACACTATTTGACACAAAGGCAAAAACTAGAAAAGTATTGACAGATCTTTCTCTTCTTTCTTAGGGTATTTTTTTTCTTTACCTTCTCCAAAAATCCTTTCAAATGGGGAAAACTCATGATAAAACCCAGTATCATTGCCAAACATCCTCAATTCCAATTGTTTATTTAATAAGAAAAAAATATTCCTTATCCTTGGCTAAGAAGGACTCCCAGAAGCTTTAGCTAGACTGTTACTGAACTGCAGATGAATTTAAAAAACAACAATTTTCCATTTTTATTTCCTTGGCCAAATCCTAGGAAAAGTGAAACAAGAGTCCATTTCTCCTGATTTTAGGTTTATCAGACTCTAAGGATTGCCTTGATAGATCACTTTTGACATAAGTACTTGAAACAATTCTCCATCTTTGAGAATTAACTACTGATCACTATTTTGTAACTACTATAATACATAGTGAAGAATTTGAGTGAGATCCTCCACCCACAAAATAAGTTCCAATTTTCTCAGGGTCTTTTATACATACTGGTATTTTTGAAAATTATATTCCAGAGTGTAATATGCTTCAGCATTGAAAAGAAGCTGTTAATCTCTGTGAACAATAGTTTTATCATTGGATATTTTTAGAGTTTAGACCAGTGTTTATCAATCACAACATCTTTGAGAAGTGTTGACGTAAAACTCCCAGAATTCCCCAGAAGCATGCTGGTTGGGAATTCAGGAAGTTGGAGTCCACACATTTCAAGGTTGCTGAAGTTGAGAACACTGGTTTAACAGTATATAAATAGTATGAATTCTGAGAATTTTATTTTTCCATCTTTCAGTGATCGTTGTGGAGAAGATCCAAATCAGAAAGTAATCCATGGGGTTATTAACTCCTTTGTTCATGTTGAACAGTATAAGAAAAAATTCCCTCTGAAGGTAAAAATAAGTTTTATTTCTGTCATGGGAAACAGTGATAAATATTTGTTGCATTTGTTGTCTTTTTTGAGGGCTTGATCCAACTTTCTCTATTTAGTTTTATCAGGAAATTTTTGAGTGCCCTTTTCTGAATGAAACAGGGGAGTATTATAAACAAGAAGCTTCAAATTTAATGCAAGAATCAAACTGCTCACAGTATATGGAGAAGGTAAGATGATCATATGTATTTTTTGTTCTGTGTATTTTGGAACTAGCTGCTTTTCAAGAATTTCAGAAGCAGTTGGGGTGTCAGAGTCATCAGTGTCATGAGGGTTGATGGTTCAGGGGAGGGGGAAATCAAAATTTTGTTTTGCTAACATAAGACCTCGGTCATGCATCTAAAATGCATTTTCAGCTGATTCATATACATACAGATAGTCCTCACATAGTGATTTACAATAGGGACCAGCAACTCCATTGCTTAACAGCATGGGGATGACAACTTCAGTTTTGACTGCAGTGATGAAACAAATCATTATGGGTCATTGAGCATGGGTGACTGATTTGCGACTTCCTGCCAGTTTCCACATTGACTTCATTAGAAACTGGCTGGGCAGGCCATAAATGGAGATCGGGTAACCTGCAACTTTTGTAAATGTTTGCTTGTTGCCAAGCACCAAAATTGCAATCACATTTCTGCAAGGATGCTGCAATGATTGGAACTTCAAGGACCAGTTGAAGTCTCATTTTTTTAGTGCTGTTGTAACTTCGAACAGTTGCTGAATGAGTAATCAGTAAGCGAGGATTATCTATATATCCAAAGTCATGTGCAGGCTAAATCAGAGGAAGCATTTGCTCTTATTTCCAAAAGCATTATCTTTATTTTTTATTTATTTTTTAGTTGTCAGGTTGTATAATTATTTGTGATGTGGTTTGTAAGTTACACTCTATGCCATAAATCAACACTCTAAATTATATAGAATAAGATGCTTAGAGAAATAAAAGGCATCCAACTGCAAATAACATATACTTCATTGAGATCAATAGCAATAGCACTTAGACTTTTATACTACTTTGTAAGGCTTTTACAGCTCTCTCTAAGCAGTTTGCAGAGTCAGCATATTGCCCCCAATAATCCAGGACCTCATTTACCAACCTCGGAAGGATGGAAGACTGAGTCAATCTCGAGTCGGTCAAGATCGAACTGCCAAACTGCTGGCAGTTAGCAGAATTAGCCTTCAGTACTACATATTAACCACAACATCATCAATAGCTTTGAACTATTCTGTTGTCTTTTCAATAGGCTTTTCTTTCCTTTTTCTTGGACAGCTCACCTTTTGCACCCTTATATTTATATGGTTTTAGGTAACCCTTTGATAATAGATTATTTGACTTGGTATTGTGTTAAAACATTTTATTTGATTGTCTACTTTTTAGTCACTGATAACTGATTTATTTATTTATTTTTATTTAATTTATTATTCACCTTCATTTTCCTCACAATATAACCACTTAGCAGGCTCTCCAACAATATCACTGCATCTCCAGGCCAGTTGACAAAACTATGTATTCAGGCTCTTCTGGAAAGTCAACTAGATTGAGGCCAGTCTCACCTCAGGGTGAGATGTTCCAGTGGATAGGCACTGCAGCAGAAAAGGCCTCTTTCTGAGTCCTACCAAGTGACATTCTTTGTGGAGAGGACCTATGACATCTCTGGATCTGATATAATGGATAGATGTAACTGGGGAAAGGCGGTCCCTCAAATAACCTGTCCCCGTACCATATGGAACACTTTATGTCTTACTAACATCTTGAAATGAAGTCAGTGCAACTTGTGGAGCAGTTGGTGCACAAATAACTGCCCGCATCATACCATATACCAGATGAAGCTTCTGGACTCTCTGCAAAGGCAGACCGTGTGTTACATTAATTCACACAGGAGGTGATCAGGGCTTGTTCTGTATTGCTTGTAATTATCCTGATATATTTTTATTTAATGTTATTTTGTAATTTGACCATTTCCAATTGTGTATATTTTACATAAAACAGTAAGCAAAGTGTAAATGTTCAGAATGATGCCATGGGTGTGAAGCATTAGTTGAACATAGAACAGAATTATAGTTGATACTCCCAGGATAACTAATATCAGCATGGAATTTTGGATCACCCTGCTTTGTTTCCTTATTTGGTAAACAAGAAAACAAGCCAGTAGCCAACAAGACTCTAAAACGACCTTCTTGGGAAACAGTCCTGATAAATATTTTGAGATTGAAATCTTAAAGAATATTTGTTTGCAAAAGTTTCATTACAACATTACAATCTTATCAGTGTTGCTTGTTCTTTCTTAAATTCTTGGAAGTCTCTTACTTGGCATCACAGTTCATCCTAACCCATTTCCCCCCCTTTTTTACTAAAATGGTTTTCCTTTGTAATAACATCACGAATAATGCGATTAGGCTTGTTTAGAGTATGTAGCTTGAAAAATGCACTTTTTATATTTGCCTCAGTATTGAATTGGCCCTGATAACTTGAAAATATATACTCCCTTTTACTTTTAGGCTCTTACTATTTAATTGTGTTCTTAATGTGGAAAATTACTTTTAGGTTTTATGTAGGCTAAAAGATGAAGAAGTAAGATGTCGAAAGTATCTACACCCCAGTTCCTACGGCAAAGTAATTAATGAATGCCAACAGCGAATGGTAGCAGACCACTTACAATTTCTTCATGCAGAATGTCATAACATCATCAGACAAGAGAAGAGAAATGGTAAAAAGTGTCCTGTGGGACAAAAATTTGAACACCTATTAAAACTAATATATGTGTTCAAAAGTACTTTTCCTTCTAACCAAAGTGAATCAGATGTAAGAAAGATGGCCATTAGTCTGTGAGGCTGCTTAACACAGGGAGTAAGTATAGATTAGGGCCCAGAGTTTCGTAGAAGGTGTATGGATATCTCTCTATTCCTTTTATTAAACCTGGTTTAAAGCTAATTTATGATTCAACCTTCTGTCATGTTCAATGCTAAGTAGTATAGCAGAAGCATTTAGAGTTATGTACCGCTCCATCATGCTTTATAGCACTCTTTAAGAGATTTGCAGAGTCAGCATATTGCCCCCAGCAATCTGCATCCTCATTTTAATCACCTCGGAAGGATGGGAGGCTGAGTCAACCTCAAGCTAGTCAGGATCGAACTCCTGGCTGTGGGCAACATTACCTTGCAATAGTTGTAACCACTGCATTACCAGGGCTTCTAGCCTGTTTACCCAAAGGCATCAATCAACAACAGCCCATACAAGATGATTTTATAAAGCAGGTTTCCTGACTTAAAGTAGAGCTCACAAGGTCAGCACACATCTTCACTCTCTTTCTTTTTAGTGTCTTAGGAAGGAATGATGATTTCCGAAGCCATCATGCTGTTTATATTATATATTAGCATTTGAGAATAATGGTTTTTGAAAACAGTATCTGTCTTGAAAATCAAGTTCTTTCTTTACACAGATATGGCAAACATGTACACACTGCTTCATGCTGTGCCAAGTGGCTTACCTCATATGATTCAAGAACTACAAAACCATATCCGTGATGAGGGCCTAAGGGCAACCAGCAATCTTTCTCAGGAAAATGTAAGTTTTTTTCTTTTTCAGCGGAAGAAAATGATTTGATACCTCAAAATATAAAGGCATTGCTAGTGACTGTCAGTTTGCTTGTTTGCTTTATCGTAAGTTTTTGTAGTTTGGTTAAACTGATGGACCATATTGCTAATTTCATTACAGAAAAAAAAAAGAGTGAATTAGCATTTCATTGGCCTTGAATGATTTACAGTGGATTTGAGTAAGTACAGCAAGTCCTCGACTTACAATTCATTGAGTGGCCATTCACAATTACAACACTGAAAAAAGTGACATACGGCCATTTTTCACACTTGCAATAATAATTGTAGCGTCCCCCATGGTCATGTGATCAAGATTCAGACATTTGGCAACTGACTCATGTTTATGACCTTTGCAGTGTCCCAGGGTCGTGTGATCACCTTGAGACCTTCTGACAAGCAAAGTCATTGGGAAAGCCAAATTCACCTAACAACCATGTTACTTACTAAATTAAGAACTGCAGTGATTCACTTAACAACAATCTGGCAAGACAGATCATAAAATGGGGCAAAACTCAGTTAGCAATTATCTCACTTCACAACAGAAATTTTGAGCTCAATTGTGGGTGTAAGTCGAGGACTACCTGCATTTTAGCTCATGCATTCAACCTTGGCTGAGCTTAAAAGTGGACCTAGTATCCCAAGTCTTTAGATGATTGAGATATTGAAAGAACATCTTGGAAGAAAGTAAAAGTAAATTATTTCTCTATTGCGGTCAAGAAAGTAGCACAGACACATGTATTAAAAATACCAGTCAAGTTCAACCTAAGAGGATCTTTAATCCTGGGTATTTAATAAAGTCCTTCTCATGAGTTTGAAATGCATTAAGCTTTCTGTTTTGTAGAAGAAAATATGTATAGCTCAGGGTTGAACTGTGGAGTTTTTGGTGCCCTCTGAGCTTTGTTGTTTGCTTGCAGACATTTCATTACCCAACTAGATAATATCACCACTGCTAATGAGTGTGAAGTTTGTTCTCTGCTTTTAAAAAGTAGCTTACCCAGTGTTAGTGAGAGTGTTACTTTCTTCTTGGTGGTTCCTCGATTAGGGTATTGTTTTCTGTTTTCAAGCCTCTGCATGTGTAATGGAATGTGTGGATGATCCTGGGGACACCTAGGAAATAATCAGACAAGAGAGTTAAGAGCCCCTAATGAATTAACAGTCAGAAGAAGAAACGTGGGAAGAATTTGCCCTAATTGTTCAGATGATTAAAATTTATGCCTTTAGACTTGCAAAATTCTTTTAGATTTAGTAGAATGAGCTCATCTAGTTGGGTTTTCTGTCCCACTTAACCGAAAGAGCTTATATTACAATATCTTAATCAAGGAGCTACCAAAGTGAAAACCATACTCCCACCAACGTAGGCAGGGCAAGCAACTATATAAAAACAGGGAGCAAACCCCACACTCACTCATACTGATGACATTATCCAGTTGAGTAATGAAACATCTGAAAGCAAATAGCTTCAAGGACTCCATATTCCATCTTTGATCACCCTGACCTAAATCTGTAGCTCATTGCATTTGGAAAGTTGCTTATAATATACAAAGATATATCAGCACTATAAACCAAAGTACCAAGCATAGATAAATACAGTCATGGCCTTGCCTGAGATTATATGCCTCCCAACTATCTTAGCTAAACCTGAATTCTGGCAATCACCAAGATTCTTAAATGACATTGTATAGCATTGTAAAATGATGACAGCAAACATATTCTGAGAATTATTTTATTCTTTTATAGATTCATACTTTTAACAGGATATGAGCTTAGGCAATATTCTTAGTTTTCTTTCTATCAAAATTATTTTGCTAAGAATTGTAACAGAACTGGTTGTTGTTTTTTTAATTATTCTGTCTGATTTTTTTCTTCAGATGCCCACTCAATTTGTAGAATCAGTGTTGGAAGTACACAGTAAATTTGTTCAGCTTATAAATACTGTTTTGAATGGTGACCAGCGTTTTATGAGTGCCCTTGACAAGGTGAGCCCAATGAAAATACTATACAGACCAAGTAGTGATGAACATAGGGTTTGAATTAGAAGTGAACAGATTGAGAGCGAATTCATAGAAACTAATGCTATTTGGAAGCTAATGCCATCATGGTTGGCAAGGTTAAGATGTTGTTTAAAAAAAAACAGAAGGAGCAACATCAAACCCTTTCCACATTGTTGCAGAGAAAAGTATTTGGGTGGCTCCACTGAGTCCTCAGTTTAAGATGAAACAGAACAGACCCTTTTACATTATTCATACAAATCCCTTTCTTTTGAGTGGGTGTCTTAAAAGATACCTCAATTTATGAGGATGATTAACTTGTCCATTGAATGACAATCTTAAACAGCAATGGTGAAACAGGGCTTTATTATTGTGACTTAAAATTTTCTGTCAGTTATTTTATGCACTTCCCCTTCTTAATTCTTTTCAGGTTAAGCAGTGTTTTGCAAAACTTTGAAAAACATTAAAAAATAGAAAAGCAAACGGGGTAGATTAAAAGAAAAAGATGTATATTATAGTGTACTTAATTCTATTTAATTTCCCCTCCCTTGCTAAACCTCCCTGTTTCATACCTCTCCATACTTTGCAGCTATTGGATTCTGAAACAAAAAAGATTCTTTGGATGGACATACTTGCTGCATCTCACAATGTTTGAGTTAAGGTAGCCTTTACAGAGTAGAAGATTGTCATACTCTGTCCCTTCTTTATCCAAATTGGTATTTTCCTGGAACTACATGCATGTCCTGCAGGTGGCAGAAAGGTGTGGTTTTTTTAAGAAGGAGCACACATGTATCACCACTTTTTTGGCTTTGGATCCCACAAGCTCCTGTCTCTTTTGTTCTTTTCACAGGATTCTTTTCTGGGAGAATCTCTTCAATTCCATCCAGTCAAAATGTTTGCTTGACTTTCCTTTCCTCTTAACTCATTCTTTCTTTGTATACTTGTTTTGCAGTTCAGATCCTTTTCATTCATTCTCTCACTTTGTTTTTATGCAGCGCTGTTTTGCCCTTGACTCTCCTTATTTTACCAAACAGATTTCCTGACCCATTCTCCCTGCATTCAGTTTCCTTTTATTTTTTTCCCCATGTTCCCAGCTGCCGCCTCAGAATTATAGAGTGGGAAGAACTAAATTGCCACTCTCCCCTCCTCCTTTTTTTTTTGGACAGTCTGTTTTTTCTTATAGCATACACTGCTCTGTACAACAATATTTTTCAAATGTGGAAACTTTAAGACATACTGATACAGAATCTGAAAAATTCTGAGAGTTGAAATCTACACACTTCAAAGTGTGGGGTGGAAACCCCCACTGCTCTATCTCTTAAAATTTCTCCATCCTGTCCCCTGTTTTTAGTGTCCATAAGAAGAAAATGTAACCTAAGAAATTTGTTTTGTAAAAGCATACATCCTAATTGTGCTATTTCTTTTTTTTTTAAGCCAAAGGATATATTACTGTACTTTTAGCATGTGCTTTCAAGTGGAAGAGCAAGGCTTAGAAGCAGCTGAATATTAGAATAAGAATGTATTTGCTTTGGCCTATTTTTACCTCCACTTAATCACACACTACAAAAGAAGATAAAACCTACTCCAAGCATATGAACAGCTTGGCTACCTGGTTAAAATCACCAAGATCCTCTGAAAATGGGTTGACAGATTTTAGCAGTCTTGGAAGCTGCACTTCCATGTAGGAAACAATAAATCTTAAACTTTCCAGCCCGTAAGGAAACAATTAGTCAATAACTGGTCACAGGATGAAAATGAAGTCACTTATTTGTAGATATCACTCTGGTTAACAGATGAGTCTTGACTAACAAACCATATGTAAAGCTTCATGGGATAAGGAAATTCCAAACAGCTTTATCAGCCAATCAAAGTGTGCCCTATAAAAGAAACAGATATCATTAAAGACATCTGATTTCTGCAACTTCTTTTAATTTAGTAACTTAGCTGCATCTCTCAAGAAGCAGGAAGAAAAGACTACCTCTAAGTTAGTCTTTAATCTTATTACCTCTGAGTTAGTCTTTAATATTATTATTAAAAATGTTTTTCCCTCCTCCCCCCAATTCTAATGATGTCTTTACTAAATGGGTTTGAAACACATCTGGTTCTTTGCATTAGCCCAATCATCAGTCCAGCTTCTCCACAGAAAAGGGTACTTAAATTAAGAGAGATTAACATATTTTGATTTAAACAAGTATTGGGAGAAAAGAGGCAGCATTGGTTGCTGGTATGGTTTTTCTGTCTACAAATTGTTCATTAAATAGTTTTCTCTAGGGCAAAAGTAGTAATTAGTGAGCATGCAATTTTTAATTTAATAAGATGCCATTATTCTTGATTCAAAATTTCAATTGACAAAAGTATACATATAATATATTTCTCCATCTGTTCCCCTATTTTTAGTACATACTCTTAACAAATTCCTCCTTAGGTTTTTCCTCATTTATATGCAGCCATCTACTCCAATTTGCCCTTCTTATATTAATTTTCATATCAATACTCTTTACTGTACCATGCAATCTGTATAACAATTGTGCAGATCTTTTGGCTTCATAGCTAGTAAAGCAGCAGCATCTGCATACAAAAACATATGTATCCCTGTACCAAAACAGTGCAGCCTCTATTGTCATTGCATTTGTCCATAAAACATTATATCCAGGGGACATTCTGTATGTATCCTTGTCATATTATATGCGCTGGTGTAATTAAAGCCCGTAATGTAGCCTACTAATCTTACTAAAAATTTTGTAAATAATGCAGCACATGATATTCTCTATTCGTAATCCAACTTCCCTAATTGCAGCGTTATCCCAGTTCTCCCATGTCAGTAAGTGGTTGGGAATTTATTCTCAGAGGCATTGTTTGCATATGTGTGGTAGTGCTATGACACTTGCATACCTTATTAAAGTTGTTTTTCTTGCGCTTCTAATTAGGCTTTAACATCAGTAGTGAACTATAGGGAACCAAAGTCTATCTGCAAAGCTCCTGAGCTGGTAAGTGTCATATACTAGTTTTATGTGCTTAAGTGTAAGTGTGGAATATCAGATAATAATTTTGTAGGGTTTTCTGCAAGCAAACAAATAATGAAAACTTTCAAAATTGTGGCCAGAATTGTTATGGATGTTGCTTGGTTTGTCTGGATGGCAGTTGTATTGCATGAATTGCACTGCAATGCCAGATGTCTTTGGAGTGCAGATCAAATTCTGGTTTTTACTTTGAAGTCCTACAAAGCTCAGGACCCAGGTATCTTCACAATTATCTGTTTCCAACAGTATCTGCTAATACAACAAGGTCTGAAATGGAAGATCAATTCAAGTTCATATTCTAAAAAAGAGATTCCACGAGGGATCATAGGGTCTTTTCCATTGCTGTTCCATTTCTATGGAAAAGCACCCCTTTTGTGAGTTCAGATCAACACTGGTCCTGTGGGAATTAGTAACACCATTAAAACTTGGTTTTTCTAGGAAGTATTATTGTCTGTTTACTAGTCTGTTTGGAAATGAAGTGGCATGCAAGTTTGAAGAACAAATATATATAAATAAATTAAATGCAATTTCCTTTAACTTAGATAATCTCTTCATTATGCTGCCTCTGATTGCTTCACTTAAGTTGCTTACCATTAGTTAGTTGTCATTATAATGATTGCTTTTTGCCTTAATGACTATCCTTTTTGTTCTTTAATTTGAGTTGGCCAAATATTGTGACAATTTGCTAAAAAAATCAGCAAAAGGCATGACAGAAAATGAAGTAGAAGACAAACTTACAAGCTTCATTACAGTTTTCAAGTACATTGATGACAAAGATGTTTTTCAAAAGGTAAAATAATCATAAGAAGATTACTATGCTTTTATTTTTCTCCCTTGGAGAATACTTTTGTTATGCAAGGAAATCTGAACTTCTGCTTTTTTTAACTGTAGTTCTATGCCAGAATGTTGGCAAAAAGGCTTATACATGGTTTATCGATGTCCATGGACTCAGAAGAAGCTATGATTAACAAATTGAAGGTAAACACTAGTTTATCAGTACAATAAACCTAGCTCTTGTTGGTGCTTAAATTTATTCATGTTATAAGCAGTTACTAACCTAATCGCAAGTCAATTTTTAACAATATGGCAAGCTTTTTATTCAGGCTGCTAATATAATTATATCCAATACAATTAATAGATTCTAGTTGTCTTCCAGCTAGAAAATTGCTCTGAAGGTTAACTAGCTGAGAATTGCATATTAAGAAAAGAACCTGCAGGTGGTGCTAAGATTATGTGAGTTAGAAAAATAGTGATTCCTGATTTAAAGCTGTGCTCTAAAAAAAAAAAAAAAGTTAACTGGAACGTGTTTTTTCACAGAACTTTTATTGTGTGTAGTGCACAGATCTCACCAGAATCTCCTGTAAATTGGTTCTACCTGACTATTCTGTATCCTGTACAGTGGTGGATTTGTTCTGTATCCTGCACAAATGCAGATAGATAAACTCCACAAACATCCATAACAAAGTACTTTTATTAGTTCATCAGGAATCCTCATAACTCACATTTTTGACGAAGTTCTTTAATGACCAATCCTTTGCATATCAGTCTTGTAGGTAAAAAGATGATAAAGCCTCAACCCCATGATAATTGAAGCGGCTGCATGATATTAATATTTCTATCCCATAGTCGTAGAGGTAGGGGGTAGAGCTGCTACCACGAGGCTGTGTTCAGGCAAGAGAGAGAGGAAACCTCCCCCAACCCCTCGAGGGTCAGTTTAGTGGCCAATCAAGAATACAGATGTGGTCACATGATATGGACTACATTTCTCAGGATACCTTAACTACATTTACCATGATGCATTCCCTTAAGGGGACAGCTAACAATTGCTACCTAACTATCCAATTCCCAAACACTGGCTGGACAGCACACTCCCTGCCTGGAATTGTAAATTCCACTATTAAAAGAAGAAAAAATAACTATTCAGAGGACTTCTCTTCATAGGTTTTTTTTTGTAATATGCACTTGTTTACACTACATATAGAACAATTTTTTAAAAAGGTTTGAAACTGCTCCTAGCATGAGAACAAAGAAGTTACTGTTCAATTATTCTGTGGAATAACAGATACTATCCAGCTTAGTAACTTGTAGTTGATGTCTAGTTAGCTTACATGAATACTGGTTGAATACAGGTAGTCCTTGAAGTTATGACAGCCCCATCCCCAAATTATTTATGACTCAGTTCTGATAACTGTCCCAACTTGACTGGATGTCAGGCTTTTGGCAATGGAGCCCATTTATGGCTGTTTTCAGCTAAAATGGCCCACAGCAAACAATGGGCTTACGACTGTAGAAGTTGCTTCCTGACCACCACAAAAAAGGTTATATGATGGCCTGCTTTGTGACTGTGTTACAACTTAACTATAATGAGTAGGCTCCATTATGGTCATAAGCCAAGGTTACCTGTAGTAGCTTTTCATTTTTAAATTATTCAGTATCAATATGATGTATAGCAGTGCTTCTTAAATTTGTTGCTTTCATGTTGCCTTCTGACTTTTAAAAATAAGAGCTAAGGTTAGATTTATTGTTATTAAAGATAAAAATTGGTGTGCTTGTAGAATATTTACTGAATCACATTTAACACCACACTATTTCTTCTAAGCTCCTCATTCTCCATAAAACAGAAGTAGCTTCTTTCAAAAGCATGTCTTTTAACACGTATACATTTTGGATAAATATCTCTAGCAAATATGTCGGTTATGGTGTTATGGGTTATTCATTCACCTAATGCTTGCACCTTTCTCAGTGTCAAGCTACTCATTTGGCATGTCTGTATGTTCTTTTGTTTTACAGCAAGCCTGTGGTTATGAATTCACTAGCAAACTCCATCGAATGTACACAGACATGAGTGTTAGTGCCGATCTTAACAACAAATTCAACAACTTCATAAAAAATCAAGACACCGTCGTAGATTTGGGAATTAGTTTTCAAATATATGTTCTTCAGGTATTTGAAAAGGAAATGTATCTATTTGTGCTTTCATTTGTATGTGTCCACACTTAGTATGTAATTTTGATGGTACAAGAACACCTACAAGGGGTACTTCTGCTGAGTCTAGCTTTCAGATACTATAGTGAATATAGAATGCCACTGAAGGATGGAGGGAAGGTTACTGCCAAGGCAGCGATCAGTAAACAGGACTTGAGCCCAGATCAAGAAAATAGTTTATGAAAGTTCCAAGTAACATCCTCCAAAGTAAAAGACTCTGAAACTATTATGTTCTCAAAGATCCATTTTGTTGGAGAGGTCATATTGGCACATCTGGGGAAAACCCGAATCTGAGAGTTCAGGGTTTTCCCTAACCCAAAGAAAGCAAAAATCCAGCCCCTGCACCTAACTGTCCATCACATGGCCCAATAAGATCTTCGCCCCAAATGGAGATATCTTCCAGTCACTCCATTCCAGGTGCAGAGTGATCTGTCCTTGACTCTCCAAGAAAGGAATGCTACCGTGGCTAATCTTCCACAGCTCCTTGAAATCCCCCTCCCAAATTCCCAGGCACTGAATATGGCAGCTGAGAAACCTCAAAAAAAAAAAAAAATGGCTTCCAAAGCTGACATCCACGCCACCTTAATTCTCCTGGCAATAAAAAGGGGAGGAGGGCAAGCACGTTCATATAGTCCTCAACGTATGAACATTGAGTGCTTGTTTGAACTCATAATGGCACTGAAAAAAATGACTTATGACTGGTCCTTGTACTTGTGACTGTCACAGTATCCCCAAAACCATGTGATCAGAATTAGGAGGGTTGAAAACCAGCTACATTTACAAAAGTTGCAGGGTCCTGATGTCGGGTGATTTTTCAATATAGGACTTCCCAACCTGCTTCCAGTAAGCAAAGTCAGTGGGAAAAGCTGGATTCACTTTAATGACAATGGTGATTCTCTTAATAATCATGGCAAAAAGTCATAAAACAGGTGTGACCATGTTCAAAATAGCAGAATTGCTTAGCAATGGAAATTCAAATCTCAATTGTCCTATGTGAAGAGTTAGCTGTACTTGCAAGATTTAGTGATTATACTGCTCTAATAATAGTAGTTTTAGGTCTGCATACTACAGGTGAAACTCAAAAAATTAGAATATCGTGCTTTTATTTCAGTAACACAACTTAAAAGGTGAACCTAATATATGAGATAGACTCATTACAGACAAAGCAAGATAGTTCAAGCCATGATTGTCATAATTGAGATGATTATGGCTTACAGCTCATAAAAACCCCAAATCCACAATCTCGGAAAATTAGAATATTGTGAAAAGGTTCAATATTCTATGCTCAAAGTGTCCCACTCTAATCAGCAAATTAAGCCATAACACCTGCAAAGGGTTCCTGAGCCTTTAAATGGTCTCTCAGTCTGGTTCAGTAGGAATCACAATCATGGGAAAGACCACTGACCTGACAGTTGTGCAGAAAACCATCATTGACACCCTCCATAAGGAAGGAAATCCTCAAAAGAAGTTGGATGTAATTGCAAAAGAAGTTGGATGTAATTGCAAAAGAAGTTGAATGTTCCCAAAGTGCTGTATCAAAGCACATTAATAGAAAGTTATGTGGAAGGGAAAAGTGTGGAAGAAAAAGGTGCACAAGCAGCAGGGATGACCGCAGCCTGGAGAGGATTGTCAGGAAAAGGCCATTCAAAAGTGTTGGGGACTTTCACAAGGAGTGGACTGAGGCTGGAGTCAGTGCATCAAGAGCCACCACACACAGACGGATCCTGGACATGGGCTTCAAATGTCATATTCCTCTTGTCAAGCCGCTCCTGAACAACAAACAACGTCAGAAACGTCTTACCTGGGCTAAAGAAAAACAGAACCGGTCTGTTGCTCAGTGGTCCAAAGTCCTCTTTTCTGAAGAGAGCATCTTTTGCATCTCATTTGGAAACCAAGGATCCAGAATCTGGAGGAAGAATGGAGAGGCACACACTGCAAGATGCTTGAAGTCCAGTGTGAAGTTTCCACAGTCTCTGTTGATTTGAGGAGCCATGTCATCTGCTGGTGTTGGTCCACTGTGCTTCATTAAGTCCAGGAACAATGCAGCCATCTACCAGGAGATTTTGGAACACTTGATGCTTCCTTCTGCAGATGAGCTTTATGGGGATGCTGATTTCATTTTCCAGCAGGACTTGGCACCTCCCCACACTGCCAAAAGCACCAAAACCTGGTTCAATGACTGTGGGATTACTGTGCTTGATTGGCCAGCAAACTCTCCTGACCTGAACCCCATAGAGCAGTGGTCCCCAACCTTTTTTGTACCAGGGACCAGTTTCACACAGAAACACTTTTTCAAGGACCGGGGGGGGGGGGGGGGGGCCCG